TCCACGTCTTCCTTTTTTGTGGTAAATAGATCAATTACCCAAGCGCATTTGGCGACATGTTCATCAACATCCGAAAATCATGATTTCATTTCCTCCTGTACCCGTCCATGTGACGTGTGAACTCTTTGTTCAGGGATTCAGGTAACTTTCCCCCGGTTTGTTTGAAAAGTGATGGAATTTGGTGCAGGTCTTGTTTCATCAGTTTCTTCTTTCTGAAGTCCACTGTGTATAAATGCGTCAATAATTTCCTTGCATTCCAGCACATTTGCATCTGTGCTCTGCATGCGTTTGTTTGTTTCATTGTATAGGCTGAAAATATCTGCCAGGTATGAGGTTCTAATAAGAAACTCATCTGTAATTTCATCAAATAGTCTTGGATTGTTCGGTTTCAAAACTTAATTTTTTTCATTTAGTTCAATAAAACAAACCAACACTTGACCTCTTGACAGCCAGTGCACTTTGTTATGGAGGAGTGTCTGGTGCATGTCATCTTCACACAGCTCCGCAAGGATTTGCTTGTTTACCGGACGCTTTAATAAAGTTAACAATCTTTATGACTGTCTAGAGCTTTTCATTAAGTTCATTAGCTGTTTGCTGGCCAGGGATTGACGGTGTATCATTTTACTTCAAACGTGCATTGAAACCCTTGTTTTTCTCCATCATTGAAGCAGCTCCATCTGTGCAGCATGCAACTAAATTATGATACGGAATGTGATGTTTTGTGAAGTACGTGTCAATCGGTGGAAAATATCTTCCCCTCGTGTTGTTGTAGACAAATTAGTTGATAGAAGTATGTCTTGCTTTATTTCTGCGTCTTCAGTGTACTGCACATATACAATGAGTATTGCTTCATCAGCCAACAGTAAAGGTTTTGTCAAGTTAGATTGAAAAGTTATTCATCTTTAACTTTTCAACCAACTTGTTCTCAACGCCGTTTGCCATTCTGTCTTTTATTGTATTATTGGACAGAGGTAGAGATTTTAGTTTTAAAGCCACCCGCGCATCGCACATTATTTCTTTTTTGATTGGGCAATTAGGAGAGCACATTCAAAAGATGCATCCGTTGCCTGTCTATTGACATTTCCAGCTCTAGTAAAAGCATCTCCTTTGTTCTCAGGTCTATTTGACATAAGTTATTTTTTTCTTAGGAAAAATTATTTGGGTTTATTAACTGTCTGTGGGTGTCTGGTGCTCTGATGTCTCTTTAGTTTGCAGGGCTTCATGCTTTCATTTGCTAGTCTGTCACCACAGATGACACGCAAATCTCACCTTGTCCATTGCTTCAATGAAACTGAATTCAAGATAATTATGCAAATAAATCCTTGCTTTCTTTTTTGCACATTCATTTTTATCTCCTCCCTGGTGCTTTGTTATATCTTGTCTTTGGTGCATCTTTTATAAACTTGCTAACGCAAGCTCTGGGCTATGTTGCCACTCTCGCGATATACTGTAATACATTCTCGATGTTAATGAAATCTCTTATCTTTCTATATATGTTTTCCCCCAAATAATCAAAATTGGATTATTTAATATATAAAATTAATTTCCTATAAAAAAAAAACGAATGCTCTTGGTGACCCCTTGAAAATCATTAGCGACCTCTAGTGGTTGTTGCGACCACCGTTTTGGGAACCACTGCACTAGAGCACTTCACATTCAGCTCAATGTACCTTGAATGAGAAAATGAAAGGAAACACAAGTTCAATGGATTGTTTTTAAAATATGCTATATTCTTTAATGATAATACCATATTAAGTTTGGATTCAAGTTCTAAAGCAAAGTTACAGATAGTAAAATGTCAATGCTGATATTGTATGTATGAAACATTGAGTATGTTTACATGGACACCAATAATCTGATTTTAATATGATTTAAACAATACTGTGATTAAGAGTCTACCGTATAAACAGCAATTTTTGAAGACCTTAATGTGACTAAAGCCATAAAGGAACTAAACAGAAACGGAATTAAGATGTGGAGTATGTCGATTTTAGTGGCATTATTGAAGTGCAGTACAGACATGTAAACACCCTAATCAGACCATTACCGTTGTTTTTTTTTTTTCTTTTCATTTGGTGTGTCATGTCAAATTCCATTAAAACAACACTCTTCCACCAGTCCTTTATTCATATTTGCATCCAATTACTCACGGAGGAGGTATTGTCACGGGGATGAATGAAATGCTCCTGAAGGAAAGTTATGAAACTGCTGAACTGCAGTTAAAGTAAAATTAATTTAAAAATGCAACTTCTGAAATTATATTAAACTCTGGAGGAAACTTGGATAATGTGGTGACAATACCATTAATAGATCTATGTGGAAGGACATGTAAAACGGGATCATGAAAGAAACATTTAAAAAGCAACTCATGTAAACACATTAGTCATATTATTGTCTTATTCAGATTAAGGCAAATCATTAGATTGCTGATGTCCAAGTAAACATATTCATTGTCTAGTCTAGACACTGTCCGATAATACAATATATTACTATAATAAACATGCATGATATAGTAATTGTGTGCTCTTAAAAAACATAAATAATTATTCATTTAAACTTTTAAAATGCCTTTAAAATATATTTATGCTGTTGAATTGGCAGTGGTGTTTAATTCAGTTCAATTCACCTTTATTGGTATAGCGCTTTTACAATGTAGATTGTGTCAAAGCAGCTTCACATAGAAGGTCATAGTAAATTGGAACAGAGTAGTTCAGTTTTTAGTGTTTAAGTTCAGTTCAGTTTAGCTCAGTTCAGTGTGGTTTAAAAATCAATACTGAGTGTGCAAACACTGAAGAGCTAATCCATCGATTCACTACTACAGTACCTTATGCTTGAAAACTTAATATGCTATTTATTTGCAAACATTTTCACATAGGATTTGACCTACAACATGACTTATAATGGTAACAATCAACGTCTACAGTAGAAAAAAACTACAAAAGATACTGTAGTTTTTAAGGTTACCAGTTTCCAACATTCTTTAAAATGTTTACTTTTGTTTTTAACAGAAGAAAGAAACTTATTCATTCATTTTCTTGTCAGCTTATTCCCTTTATTAATCCGGGGTCGCCACAGCGGAATGAACCGCCAACTTATCCAGCAGTTTTTACACAGCGGATGCCCTTCCAGCCGCAACCCATCTCTGGGAAACATCCACATACACATTCACACACACACTCCGGACAATTTAGCCTACCCAATTCAGCTGTACTGCATGTCTTTGGACTGTGGGGAAACCGGAGCACATGGAGGAAACCGCAAGGCAGGGAGAAACGCCAACTGAGCCCAGGTTCGAACCAGCGACCTTCTTGCTGTGAGGTGACAGCGCTACCTACTGCGCCACTGCCTTGCCGAAGAAAGAAACTAAAAAGGTTTAAATTTAAAAATATTTTTAAACTATCCTCTAACTTTTTCATATCAAAACTAGTGATTGTATTATCAAACAGAGTTTATTACTGATGAAATTTAATTGTATTTCTTAAATTAATAGAAAAAACTGTAAAAAAATATATATATTTTCACTGTTTAATGTATTAATTAGCATTTACTAGTTCACTAAATACACCTTATTCTAAAGTGTTACTTATTATTATACTTTATAATTGTTTTGAAATATTTAAAAAAAAACATTTGTTTCCCTTAAACATTTACATATATTATAAAGCAATACACACAAAAAGTGTTCCTCCCTATTATACCAGTGAAAGTAACTTTTTTTGCAGCATGATAACACTATTTTGATAAATAACATCAGCAATTATTGCAAAAAGAAAATGTAATAACTTGAAATTGCATAAGCTTGTATCTGGCTAACTAATTTTTGACTATCTTTATCAACATATTTTTCTTGGCCTCTTTGACTCACTTTTGATAGGTCCTTGGTAGAAATGCCGTTACAATCACTGTAAGCATTTCGCTAAGGCTGCAGTTTTTGTAGCCCTCCAAATATATGTATTTCAGAGTCTCATTCAATCTCTTGCCATTTGCCATTGCTGGTGTAGATGGCTACTCTAAGACCCCTCTGAATACATTGACCCAGCTCTGATTTAGAAAACACAACAATAGTAAAGACCCATACCATTTAAAAGTGAAAAACACAGTATTTAAAAATGGAAACAAAAGAAGTAAGATTAATGCCAAGTAAAAATTTGTTTTTGTCAGATGTTCTCTCAGACCTAAAAACTCCAATATTCAGAAAGTTATAATAAATAATGTGATAGGTATTTTGAGCTGAAACTTTACAGACACATTGTGGAGACACCAAATACTTTTCTTAAATCTTGACAAAAGATTTAAGTTAACCCCATGTCCACATGCATGGCATTCAGAAAATTTAAGTAGGCTATTTGGGTTTGTGCTACTTCAAACTTTTATAGTCATTATAGGGGGGAGGGGGAGGGGTTATGTTAGGGTATGTATATTTTTAATAAGTCCAAATAATTTTTTAACTAAACTATACTCATAATAATGTAAAAATTAGCTCTAGCTTGATTATTCGTCTGTACAAACTTCCATTCTATTGATTTTCTGTTTTTTTACTTTATTGTAAATATTAGTGATTTCATTTTTTATCCTGATAACTTAAATTGTCATGAGTAAGACCATTTTCAACCACATTAATTGCTTCCTGTATATTTAATTTAATATGATCGACATTCTTTCCCCTTTTCCATAATCCTCCATCTGCAAATAAAGAAAATAAAATACATTATCAAGATGGAAAAATAATGGACTATTGACAGTACCATAAGGGGTGACGTTGTTAACTGAACTGTTGTATAAAATAGCATTATCTGTTAACCTCAATGGATAAAAAAATAAATACTGATCGTATAAATTGTAAAAAAAAAATAAATAAAAAACCTACTATTCAAAAATGAATACAAGCACGATCTAAATTTGGTTAATATTTGTTGTTATTCAAGGCGACAAGTAAGAACTTTTATTTTATTAATGGCGTCTGAACTTTTATATTGAAAATTGTTTGGCCTTCTCTAGCAGGCTTCACGCCGTTGTATGAGGGGGAAACGCGTGCGGTCAGTGGGCAGGTAAAAACACAGCGTTGAGGGATCGGAGAGGGTATGTGTGATATCGAAAAAATAAAACAAAGCCATTACATTCAACTTCATGAAATAGCTGTTATTTGTTTTAGGCAGGTGATAACATTTGTACATTACTTGATTTCGGTACATAATTGGTGTCTGATGCGCCGAAGTCTGTTGTCCGTAGCATTAACCGTTAGCTGTGGCGCGGCGTGGTGTATACTAAACAGTTAGCCCAGTGTATTAGCATCTTCTTGTTTATACATTTCTGTATGTTTTAGCCCTAGCCAAACGTACATCGCGTGTATAAACATGACGCAGCTGTGCTGTAACTCGCGTTAAAACTACACACGAATGATTGTATAACTCGCTCGAGTTTTCTTGTATGTTGCTATGGGCCACTTCTCGGTTGTCTATGTTGTGTTGTAACGTAACTGTTCACTTTAACGTGATTTGTTTCAGTTTATCACAATACTCTTGTCGAATTCAAATCATTAACGCAGTCCTTTTTGTCGACCAATTCCATCCGTCATTACGTTGTTTAAAACCGTCGAAGTTGTAAGTTAATCTTACTTAAACGTTAACGTTCGTTAGCTTTTTTTGGCCGAACCGCGCGTTCCCAATTACTCGCCCAAGTTTTGTATCAGAATAGGGACTTTAGTAAGTTAAAAGATGTTTGTTACTGGTAATTCTTTCAGTTTTGTAATTGTGTGTGACTTTAAGATTGATGTGCTGTTTATATGTTGTTGTTTTTTTCAAAAGTGGGCTTTGGGTGGGCGTGTAAGTGGACACCAGTCCAGGCTGCGTTTGCATGGCTATATTTAAGCGCAGGACTGATAGAGAGGCGATAGTCTTACATGGGGAGCTCTGTGCTGAGAGTTAAACTTGCCACAGTCTTGTTGCACCTGTCACTGACCTCTTACACAAACGTCTTGTTTGTGTGTGTGTGTGATATCATTTGTCTCTTTCCCCTTCTCCTCTAGACTTTTCTATTTTGTACATACATTATTTTGTATATACCGTTTATGATGACTTCAGTGGTCACTGATGCTGCCAGGGGCAATCGGGACAGAGCCCCACCACAAACCACACACACCTCACAGCCACAGAAACAGATTCAGGTTAGCAATTCATGTCATTATGGGAGTAGACAGGTCTGAGAACTTAGACTTGAATGACGTTAGATATTTAACTGTCTCGTCTGTCTCTAGGCCACAGCAGAACAGATTCGGCTTGCCAAGATGATTGACAAAAAAGATGCGGATTTTGAGAAAAAAGTCCAACAGGTGAGCAACACCAAATTCACCGGAAGTGAGGAACAGTGTGGCCTGATGTTTTTTTTTTTTTTTTTTCTCATTTGATCTGTTTACAGATGTTTTTGTTTGTCAATGGTTTTTAAAGGGGTGGTCCACTATGATATCATATTTTAAACGTTAGTTGATGTGTAATGTAGCTGTGTGAACATAAACAACATCTCTGTATTGAAAATGTTCTAAGTTCAATGCAAAGGGAGGCCTTGGTTTTTACAGAGTTCGCTTGGCAAAGCCTAAAATGAACAAATTTTGGGGACTACAAAAAATACTTCCGCCCCCAGTGAGATCACAAAGGTTAGTTTACTGCGCACCCACACTGCGCAGCTAAGGCCCATGGCCAGAGGCGCTGTAACGTTATAGCAGAGATGAAGCTAAAAATGCGTCCAAACACTGCGGTTTTCACAGAGCTTCTTCTGTTTCTGTATTTGGGCTTCCAAAGGACACGACACAAAGACAGAAGTGCTTACAGTTCAATATAAATTATGTTCTAGAGAATTAAAAAATACACAGCAAGCATGAATTGACAAAACAGCTTCTAGAATCTCTCCCAGTTCAGTGCTGTATTTGGCTAAAATCTCCTCACAGCAGAAGCTGTGAACTACAACCTGTAAGTGTTTTTATTTGTTAAAATTGATCATGACATGTACGGAGTCTAGCGTTAACGGTATGCTGTAGCAACGATGTAACAATGGGAAATGCTGCTTTGCGGGCAAACGATTTAGCTACAAATTCATATTTATCAGTCAAACTGCTGTAGACACACACACTCCACCAGCACGTTAGTGTCTCTTATGTGTGTGCACGACTGCATTCACTCAGGTAGCTTGTCCATGCGTTTCACATATCAGATAATGAAGTCGCAAAGGATATGTGGATGATTCATATTACTTACACCTGCATATTCCGCATACCTGACTCATGGTAGCAGCAGAAAAATAAATCAAGGCTCACACAGGTAGCATCCCACATCTTGTGCTTTATTCTTCTGTCACGATATATTACAGAAAATAACTTAATCCGAGCATCAGAGAAAAAGAAACTCCCGTGCACATTCGCTTGTTACAGAAAGTTCACACATTTACTCACACACACACACACACATAGATGCAGACAACATTCACACACATAGATGCACACACAATGGCAAACAGGAGCTGCACCCCATTTTCATTTGTTACAGACATTTGTCAGATTTTATTTTAGAGAGCAGGCAGGAGGTTGATTGATTGTTTACACTGCAGAAAAGCGCGTGCTTTTACGGTTGTGATGTGGAGCCGATCTGTGAAAAGCAGCACATTATGTCGATGACCAATCAGAGTCACTTAAGGGTGGGCCTTTCAGAGGAACTAGGAAATTTGACCGTCGTTTTCATGTTAGCTGAGTAGTTGTGTATAATCAAAGTGAGATATATGAAAAAATAATGCGATTTCCTTCAAGTGAAACATGAGCACACATTGCTTTGCATCTTATTAACACAACCAAGCCTTAAAATTACATTTTGGACCACCACTTTAAATATGGCATATAACTTCATGTAAGAGATTAAGAAGTTTGGCAATTGAGTAGAAGACAACATGATGCCAAAGATTACAGTTTGACTTATTCTGGATTTTACCAATAGCTTGGTTGGAACTGCTGAACCATTGTTTTTCAAATGGAAACTGGATAACTAAAATAAAACTAGCACTACATGTAAAATAGTACGGAACTTTACTACACACCAAAAACAGCACTGAAACCATTTTATGTAAAAAAAAAAAAAAAAAAAAGAGTCACATTTGGCTTAAACCGTTTTATTTTTTCAGACACATTTGGTACTTTAAAAAGTGCCCACCTCATTGTATAAAATGTATACGGGGTAGCCAGAGTATAGAAAAAGCTACAGTTTAAAAACAATAGCTGTGTCTTATTTCAGAGGCTGTGTCCTCCGCAGGATGCATTCGTAGTGTGCTGCGTTATGGCGGCACGACGAAGGCTGTCTCATTTCAAAATAATTAGAAGGCTCCTTCAAATGCAGCCTCCAAATGCGTCTGTTGTTTTCCAGGTAATGAAGGACACAACTGGTGGATACTTCGCAGCCTCGAACGTCTCAAGATCTATTGGTCACTGATAACAGCAGGATGCTTTTAAAAGAAAACTCAGTTTAAACAGATGAATTAAGTTTATTTTACTTGGATATCTAAACACGTTAAAAATACAAAAAGAGCAGTCCTTCGGAAGATGCAGCCTCTGAAATAAGGAAGTTAATGTTATTTTTTTTTAAATGTTCACATCTAATTGTTTACATTTGTAAAATATTAATTAAATTCATCTTATTACCACAGTCAATCAACACAGGCCCAGAAAAATAACAGCCAACACATTATTTGTTTTTTAAACCCCAATAAACAATTCATAGGAGAGTTTAACCGTTCATTGAAAAGTTAGAATGATTAATAAACCCATATCAAACAGTCCCTTAAAATTGACATAACGTCTTCAGTTTCAGGCTGAGGCGCACTTTGGACTCACACTACAAGCTTACCGCGCTAAAACAGCCTATCTGCGCTCTTTCACGTCTTTTTCAACCGGACAACTCAACCATGCCTGGGCCCGATTCGGAGCACTCGCATTTGTCAAACGAACCGGGAAACGCACCTGTGTGAGTGCACCCTAAAGCCTGGTTTATAATTCTGCTTCGAGTGATCGACGTGACCCACAGCGCATGCAATGCTCGTAGCCGTGCATTTATCCTACTGCACGCTGTTTGTGTTGCTCTGCCTCAACACATCAGAAATGGTAGCTGGCAGTAGGTTTTTATGTTCCTCAGTTTCTTCACTGGTGTTTTTTTCCCCTGAATGGCCCCTATTGCGCAGGGAGCTCAAACTTGCTCATTTTAAGGCACAAATCGGTGGACATGCAACAACTTTAATCATAAGGTAAACACAAAACAACAGTTTCCATCTATAGCTCCTTCACAGGACACCACTCTTGTAAACACTCGCTCAATTAAGCTCACGCTGCTCTAACCTACACAATTTTGTAGTTACATTTTTTGAGAGGTGTGAGGCCATGGCGAGGTCTATGCAACGACGTGTTGGTTGCGCCGTAGCATATGGGTTCGCTTGACACAGAAGTATAAATCAGCCTTAAGAGTCAGATGTTGTGAATCTGGATATTGGAAAATATTACTAATACAAATTAACTTTTTGCTTTTGTGTTACTCTCTGTGATCGTATCCATCAGTTACAACATCTCTTTTTAATGTATTAATAGCATTCAATAATCTCTCAAATTCTTGTCTTAATATTTTGAATCATTGTTAATCCATGGTGGTCCATGGTACCCTAGATTCTTTTTTTTTTATCTCTTACAAGTTTGTGTATGTTGCTTTTTGGTTGTATTGAATTTGGTTGTATTGTGTGTCCTAGCTCATGGAGGTTACAGGCAAAAATCAAGATGAGTGTATGGTGTCCCTTCATGACTGCAATGGGGACGTCAACAGGGCTATTAACTTTCTGCTGGAGGAGGTCACTGTCAAGGTGTGTTCTTTATACAATTCTTTTGTAATTGTAATAATTGTGCTGAAATTTTTATTTAATTTAGTTCCCTCCCATGGACTTTTTACAGTTTTACTTGTATAAATGCTTATTAACTATTATTCAAAACTACAGAATTTTTCGATAAAAGGGCATGAGCTTAATGAACCCATGTACTTTTTTTTGTTTTGCATTGTCTCATACTGTGTGCTGCTTTGATTGCACAGGACTCATGGGAGACTGTTGGTAAAAAGAAAAGTGTTGGAAAAGAAGGCATTGCACCAGAGGGTAGAGAGAAAAAAAGTGAAAGGGAAGGCAGAGGCCGTGGGGGTCCAAACAGACGTGGCAGAGGGGCCAGTCGCAACCAGGAAGGTGTGTTTTAGTCCATGTATCCAAGCTTATTTATGATTTTTTTTTTATCTGCGCTAGTGTCTAAATCTCAATTTGTCATGAACTTTGACATTTTGTATTCTGTCTAAATTGCAAGGTATAGTGAAGAATTCACCCTAGGTTATGGGACTATGGGTTGGCTATGCTGTATTTATTGCATGTACTCAGTTTATAAGTGGAGCCTAAATTTGCCTAATGTTGTTGTGGTCATTGGAAATCAGGTGTATAATCTTTCATTCTCTCTGACATTGTTTTTAGGGCGGTCGGAAGAGAATGGCTTTGAATCGGCTCAAGTAGAGAGAGGAGGAGAGCGCGGGCGCAGAGGAAGGGGGAGAGGTTAGTTGGATCATACAAACTTCATGATATTATTCTCACTCACACACTGCTAGTTTGTTTTATTTGCAACATTAAAACTGAATAGTAAGTTACTTTATACAAGTTAAAATATGAGTATAACCCATTATAACTAGGGTTGAGGGTCAATTTCAACAAGAATAAATTCCATGATTCCAAGGCATTGAGAATTAAGATTCGATTCTAGCGCTGCAACAATGAATTGATTAAATCGATCACTAAAAACGTTGGCAATGAATTTCACAATTAATTTGTCGTGACGTGGAGATGTTTGATTATTTAAAATAAAAACTTGAGTTAAGCGTGGAGCGGAGTGAACGCACTCTGCCTCTGTCGTGCGCTGATGCCAGCAGAGTTTGGCACCTCATAGACAGGACAGAGCAAAAAGACGAGCTGAGGTAACGTTACGGGAAAGATACATGGTGAAGGCTGAGATTTCTGTGACCCTAGTCATCCAAGGTGTGGGAGCATTTCACACTAATTAAGCAAAAGCAGCATGACATGAACATTTCAAACTGAGCTTTGATGTGTTGGCTGGTGCTGAGCCAGAGAAAGATGTTTCATATTATCACAATTATGCAGTGTTTTTAACCACTCAATGCTTATTTTATGTTTTAAATATGCAAATACTTCCGCTAAATGTAGTTTTGCTAGTACTTGTTTGTAAAACACACAAGAAAGTCTATGGAAGTCTAACAGTCCATTCAAATATAATTTGTTGATGTGTTACTTTTACTACATGTATTTGATATAAAAAATAAAAAGTTCAATGTTTTTTTTTTTTTTTTTTCTAACCGGCCAGCCGCTTGCATGCATTTTGGAAGTAATTGGTGAATTTACATGCTGAATTCTGCTTTTATGAATAAAGCAAATGGCCTGACGTGATGCCCACCTCACGTTATAGATCACGATCAAGATTATTTAAACGTCTTTTAAACAACAAAAACACTCACACGTTTTTGTGAATAGAATATCAGGTAGTTGATGACATGAGCAAGTGTGTAATATGTTATGTATAGTAGTATAATAATATATTATGGCAAGAATAAAAGCAAAAAAAAAAAAAAAGTACACTTAATAAACAATATAGATGTTTATATATATATATATATATATATATATATATATATATATATATATTTATTTATTTATTTATTTACATATATATATATATATATATATATATTTATTTATTTACATATATATATATATATATATATATTTATTTATTTATTTATATATATATATATATATATATATATATATATATATATAGCAACCCATGTTATCTTGTCATTAAATATTTTAATAAATTATAAAATATTTATATTATATATATTTTTAAAAACAATAAAAATAATTAGTTTTAAAAATCTTCAATGATATTAATGATATGACTTGGTTCCGGAAACTTCTTACCTCTCTGTTAATCCGTCTGACTTTATGGTCAGTTTCTTTTGACTACATCCTGTCGTTTTAAAGAATATCACAACGACCGAACGCAGCAAGTATAAAAGCCTCATTGTTTCGTGAGGTGCTTGCGTAGTCAGTGGAGGTGCGCTATGCGGTGCCAGGTGAAAGTATAAATCCAACTTTAATAGTAATGCATCAGTGGTATAGTTACTTTGAATTGCAAAACTAAAGACACGTTTTTATTCACTCGCCCTTTTTGGGTCATTAACTTCTCCATCTGTTGTCATGTATAGCTACACTGCAAAGAAGCTTTTCTTGCGTAGTTATTTTATTTAGTTTCCAGTCCAAATATCTAAAAAAATCTTAAATCAAGACTAGACAAGAAAAATGGCATAAGAAAATTAAGTCATGCCTAACTTCAGTTTGAGATTATTTTTCTTACCCCATTGGCAATTTTTTTTTTCTTGTTTTAAACAATCACTTAATATTGAGGTGTTTTTTGTGTTTTTTTACATACTTTCTCAGGCTGTTTCATCTGTCTAGTATGCAACTTGATTCTAGTATGTAACTTGAAATGACTTTTCGTTATTTGGATTGAAAACGGGACAAAACTATTAAGTTGGTGTTTTTATTTTTATTATTATCATTATTACAGCTCAAGGATGTTCAAAGAGCAATGTGTGCCCTTTCTAAATATTTTAGCTGTTTTTGAAAAAAGGGTTGGAAATGAATGCTTTTCTTTTTTTTTTTATCCTATTCATCAATTATCCAAAAAATAATTGGCAGATTAATCGATTATTAAAATAATCATTAGTTGCAGCCCTAGTTGATTCCATTAAAGAGAATTCTTTGTTGGAAAGTCTTTGTTTTAGTTAAAAAGAACTGTTTAATTATGTAACTCTAACTTTTTTTTTTTCTCCATTTGATCTGCGGTTATAATGTGCATCTATAAACAAACGGCAAACCTGTCCTTTGTGAGAACAGCCAATTTCTTTTTCTTTTTTCCCCTTATCAAGTTTTACAGTCCACACCTGCACCATACAGAATTGTGCTTGCAAAATTATTTTATTTTTTTAACCCAATGCTTTTGGTTTGAGGTCACCAGAAGTGTAATTGGAATCATTTTAATGTATGCCTTAGTTTTAGCTTGTACTAGATTATACTCAAGTAGATTCATTTATTTTATGTTTGTATTATGTTTGTATTTTGAATGCAAGATAGAAATTGAAAACATTAATTGGGTCTTGTTGTTACAGATATATACACTATCGGCAATAAAAATGTTACTATCTGGGTAGGAATGGACCCAGTTCCTGTGTCACTATTTTTATACAATCACTGAACAACATTTGTAGGGCACTTCATGCAGCTGAAGTTTTGTTTAAAGCAGCTGCAACTGTAAAGAGACAGGTTGCCCTAGAACCCAACTGTTAACTACCATTTGTGACATGACATGGAAATGAGCCCTAAAACATAGAAAGGCTACTAAAGGTCAGAGTTTCCATAATTGTAGAATGATCCCTCATTAAAACTGTATCATTAAGAGATGTCCACATGGATTATAGTTCTCTGCTGCTCCAATGGATTTCTGGTTGTTTCTGTGAGTCTATGATGGATTTTCATCAATAGCTGGTTTTTCACCTGTCCTTGTAATAAATGTCTTAATTTTAGCTTGATTAGGTCTTAAAATAAGGAAAAATGAGATGTGTATTGATCTATGTGATTAAAGCCTGGAGTGGAGCGGAAGCACGTTCCACTCGCTACTAAGGGTTCTTAATATAAATGTATACCCGGGTTTTCTATTACCGCTCATGAAAAAAACTGCTCTGTCCACTCCGTTAAAATATAGTTTTATGTATTTTTATTTCATGAACACCTGAAGAAAATGTTTGTAAATGGTTTGGGAATTAATAAATATCCGCTTTAAAAAATGAATTACACAAACATGTCCAAATGTGTACCTGAAGTGTGTGCATCTTCTCTTTAGTTTTCTGACTGTAGCGTGTTAATGGTTTTTGCATGTAAGTTTTTGACTTTTATTAGGATTATGCATTATGTAAACAACATCTCATCTATTGAAACATTAAGTATTATATTAAAATTACTTAAAATCTAGGGCAAAATGTTGTTAACATTACTATAGTCGCATTACTGAAAAGCGAAGCAGAATTGATTTAGCAATAACCTATATGTTAATGGTGCTTTCAGTATATTATTATTACTTCTGACAGTATACAACTTTAAAGGATGTGGCCTACTTGAAGTATCAAGATCACGTCTGTGATCTTTCGTGTTTTGAAATCCCTTAAACTTAAGGGGAAATTAAGGGCAGTCTTAAGCAAAAATTACCCCTTTTTTGCAACCGTATCTTTAACTGACATATCTTTAAACTCTGCCTTTGTTTTTAACCCTTTCCAAAGCCCCAGCTGGCCCAAGGCATTGGGCAGGCTGAACAAGGCAGCAGGCCATTGACCACCATCAGGCCCCGGAAATGACTGAGGAAATGCGACTAGCCCAGGCACATGCTGGCATGCTCGCTTTAGAGGCAACAATGGAAACTAGCGTGAATGAGATTAAAATCTCGAGTTTTACTTAAGATCTTTAACAGCTGAATTAATGCGTGAACTTTGTTTCAGCAAATGGAATAATTTTTGGTGACAAGTCTTATTTTGACATTTACTTTGCTAAAATGTGTTGGCAAAATCACATTCTGGGCCTTTTTGTTTTGTAAGTGGCTGTTTTTGCCAGAAAAAATTACTATTTGCCTTTTCCCAACAGAAATGACCATCAACAATCAAAAATACATGATTATTCAGTGTCATGGCTTTGCAATCAAAAACTGTGGTTATAATGGAAATCAATGGGTCAAGAACAGCCACAAAATTATCGAAAGGGTAGTCAGTTTTAACAATACTCAAGCATTAAATAATTTGATAATTAGCAAAGCATGTTTTCCTATAGCAGTGAACTGCGTAATGCAGATTGTGTAGGTCTTGCTTATTTAACAAATCTTATCCAGATCATCAGCTTGTTAGTGGAGTGTCCATGGACTGGTCTTTGTGTGTAACGAGACAGACTAAATGCTCCAGGACTGGAGTTGGGAATCACTGAAAAACAATTAATAAATAAATTAATAAAAGCGACAGGTTTGCTTTTTTAAAATAATTTTCTTTTGAATTTTACTAAACTATTCTTATTGATGTCATTTCAGGTGTTGGAGGCAGAGGAAGAGGCAGAGGAGCTGGAATAAGCAGGTCCTCTCAGGGAATCGGGTGGGTGTTTAGACATTCTATCAGCAATATCTCTATTCCACACATATATATATATATATTTTTTTTTTTCGTTCTCACTTTTCCTCTCTTTTGTTTGATTTTGACTAGTAGGACTTTCAACCCTGCTGACTACACAAGTTCTGCTGAGGCTGGAAATGAGACTACTGAAGGAGCAGGTGAGGGCTGTTTGTTAAATAAACTTTAATGGATATATTTTTTGCCTTTTAATTATTGTGATATCACAAAGATAAGAATTTTGCTCTTTTAACAAAGAAGGTTTTCTATGTTTTTAATAGTTTTAATTTATTTGCGGATTAAACCCTTAATGAACTAAATAATCGTTCAATATTCAAAATCAATGTAAATTTTTCAAATTAATCAGAGTTTGATTTTAGGTCATATTGTACAGCTCTAATTCAAAGCAGTACATTTTAACATCAAATTCAAAAAGTAAAAAATTCTTAAGCTTTCGTTTAACTTACAGAAAGTACAAATAAAAGATTTCCAGTCTGTTCAATGACAAACTTTAAACTTATGATTTTATTGACTGTAATACTTTACAAAAAAGGTTGAGGTCAAATAAAATTGAAGCCATTATAGAATACCAAAATCAAATGGGGTTTGAGATTGTCCACAAAGCAGGTGTAAGTATTTATCATAAGTCATGAGAGTATTGTCATATTGTCATTTCTTAATGTAAAATGACAAAAAACTGTGGTCTTTTCCTACATCTTTTCACACTATTTTATGGAAGTTAGTGAATCTAGAGAAACTTCAGTTTGTAAGCAGAAAACCTCAGCTGAGTGGGGGAAAAGTTAATAATAGTAATCACCGTTCTTCCCCACTTGTTTGATTATGAATTGCTAGAATTATTTTCATTACAATTATTTCATAGATTTAAAAAAAATAAATAATATTCAGTTTAAATGTTTAATTTAGTAATTAGCTTGGATTTTCTTTATGACCACAGAGATTTGAGTCCTCATTTTTTTGTGTGCCCGCGGGGTCTAAATGCCTTAATGTCTTATTTCAAAAATAAAATTTTAGTCCTTAAAGTTTTTAATTCACTTAAATATAGTCTTGCAGGTCTTAAATAATTTTAAATGTGATCTTTTATGTCAGGGGTCACCAATCCTGGTCCTGGAGGGCCGGTGACCCTGCATTGTTTAGCTCCAACTTGCCTCAACACACCTACCTGGGTGTTTCAAGTATACCTAGTAAGACCTTGATTAGCTGGTTCAGGTGTGTTTGATTAGGGTTGGAGCTAAAATCTGCAGGACACCGGCCCTCCAGGAACAAGTTTGATGACCCCTGTTTTATGTGCTTAATGTGCTTTTTTTTTTTTAAGGGCAAGTAAAAATCTTTTCCACAGGCCATTAGAATTGCAAGTCTGTTATTAAATTCATACTGGTCTCAAGGCTGGTTCATACTTCTACGTCGAGTGATCGGCGTGACCTACGGAGCATGCTTTGCACATTGCCATGCATTTGGGTTGCTCTGCAATAACACTTCCGAAACACCAGCTGGCAGTGAGGTTCTTATGTTCCTCTGTGTCAGGATTCTTCGTGGGCGCTTTGTTTTTTTTGAACATTACCTTAATGTAAAAGTAGCTACAACTCGCTCATTCAGAGGTGGAAAATGGCAGACATGCAATAACCTTAATCGTGAGGTAAACACAAAACTACAGTTTCCACCTGGAGCTTTCTCAGGATTCAACACTTGTAAACACTCGCTCCAACAGGTTTTGTGTGGCTCTCAGCCCCGCCCACACTCCTCAGACCTACCAAGCAGACCAATCACAGAGCTTGCGTTACGCATCGATGTGATGTGTAGTTACATTTTCTGAGAGCTGTGTTTTGATGTCAGCCAAGGCGAGGGGTATGCGACTGCAAGTCTGCACTGCACCATACGCATGCACTTGATGCAGAAGTATAAAGGCTGATTTATACTTCTGTCTCAAGCGCACACGTATGCTCTGGCGCAGCATTTGCGCGGTTGCATAGCCCTCGCCATCTCTGACTATTCAGTTTCTGTTCCTGAAAACTACTGTTAGATTAAAAAACATGAAAGTGTAGTGTTTACTTTAGTAGTATATTTGCTATATTGTTTTAGTTTGTGGTTTTGCTTGTAGATTAATATTTTTCTTTTTCTTTTTTTTTACTGAGAACATCATATATTAGACTGTACCAAAGTTGTGACACTAAAACTGTCATACAAACCAAACTGTGAGCAATCTGTATTGTTTTATCTCTATTTTGATTATCATTTATTTCACCAATTATTTTGACCTGACTGTACTTTCAGGAGCCTGGAAAGACAATCTGGAAGACTGGGCTGCTGAAGACTGGAACGAAGATGTGAGTGAGCTGTTAAAATTAAGCTAGAAAATGTGATTATTGTGAGATGTCAATGTATGCTCATATTTCTTTCATTCATCAGCTATCCGAGACCAAAGTGTTCACCGCTTCCTATGCTCTTAGCTCCAAAAACCACATGGAACCTGGCCAGGGGTGAGTGCTGATTTTCTATAGCAAGACACAAGATTTTATTATGAAGGATGTATCTGGTTTATAAAGAAAGTGATTTCAATTTAGATTAGTTTAGAGCAGGGGTTCTCAACCTTTTGCAACCTTTTATACTGCAAGTTTCAGTATAAAACAATTACTGTCGTATCACCAGCCTCTCCAGAGTTTCATGTAATTTCGGGTGTTTTATTTTTAACTCTCGACTTCTGTTTTAATGGAATTTGATACCGCTTGGCGAAGGGAAAGAAAAACCTCCGCATTTCGTGACTCGCTGGTCTTTTAAGGTAATCAAGTCGCTGCTTACATGGTATACTTTTAATAAGAGAAGTATCTTAATCATATTAAAATCTGAGTATTGGTGTCTTATGTAAATGTACTTTGACAGCACGCGACTTCACATGACACTTTCTAAGACATTCTAAAGCCTTTCAGCATGAGCCCTCAAATGTTTTAGTAAGTTTGAAGTGTTTCCCCCTTAAACGCAATGAAAGCTTCCATTGTTGTGTCACAGGGTTCCCGCGGGTCCTTAAAGTCTTAAAATGTCTTAAATTAAAATCCGGGAAATTAAGGTCTTAAATTGTCTTGAATTTTACCGTAAAGTGGCTGTAGGTATTAAATTTTCAGCCGGTCTGCTTAATGACGATAGGGAAGCACAGTGGTCCACCGTAAAACATCTAATAGTTGATTCATTCAGTATGTGAAACAGGAGAGAAATGACAGTCTCCGTGATTTACTAGCTTATTACGGTAGATCGGGTACAGAGTATAGACGCTGACGCCGATCTGCACCTGCGTGCTGTCATTACGCGGTTGTTGATGTGAGGTTCAAAATGCAAAGATGGGAGAATGTAAATTTAACGACGTGGCAAAGAGGCAATGTGCAAACTCTGCAAAAAGACCTTTTCGTTAGGGACCATGGGGCTCAAAATCATCGAGTATCACATGAAAGGAGGAAAGCAGTAGCGGGACGTTGCAGCAGCTAGTCATAGCTGGTCCAGGTTAATCCCTGCATTATTTACATCCCTGCTCGACCTAACAATGTTACTAGTTTAGACTAGAGCTGAAGATCTTTGTTGGGTTCGGACTTTATTTCTATCATTTTAGACGGGGTTGTGCCGGGATTGGGCTTGCGCAGTAAATGAACAGCCGTGATGCATTTCGATTAGCGCGAGGAAGTAATCAAATTGTTTGTTACAACATTTAAAACCATCCCTGCAAAGGTTTAACAAATGATGACAGAGATGTCAAAAAGAGCGAATTATGTCAGCGGTCAGGCCAGCCGCCTGTTTTACTCGAACAGTCATTCTAACCGCTGGTATATCAAGGTATTTTGGCGGTCGCTCATACACTGCGTATTACGGTAGAGCACTAAGGAGCAGTGTTCAGCGAGCTGACAGGACATGACGAGGCCACTGCATTGAAACCGCTGTCATGGAAAATGAAATGAATGTTCTTGACTGGTGGAAGATGAACAAACAGTCCTACCCAAAACATGCTAAATTAGCCAGATCAGGAGTGTATCCCGGCCAGTAGCAGCAGCAAAAAAAAAAGGTGTTCAGTTTTTATTATTATCCAATTCATCGATTAATCAAAAAAATTATAATTGACAGATTATTCGATTCATTAAAATAATTGTTAGTTGCAACCCTAATCTTTACTTTAACCGAAAGAGCCTCTCTGATATTAGGCTTGTCTGTCTCCTGAGAAATCAAATATGCATATATTTACATTATTAAAAAGATCTCCTAAGTTAAATCTATTTGGACAGATGCTTTTACCAAAATAGCCACTGTAATTAGAAAAATTCAGTTTAGTAACAAAATATTTAGCAAATGGAAACAATTAGATTTCTGTGTGTGTTGTACATTTATGTTCAATAGCCAATATAAAGACGTTAGCATTTATTAAGCGCAATTCACAGATGCCAAGAATGTAAATTAGGTTTCACGTTCTCAGCAAAACAACATCAAATCTAACTTGCTCTTGCCGAAGATAAAATAATCTTCTGACATTTTATGACCATTAGTTATTCTGAAATATCAGCAGGGTAATTAAAGGTGCTGTATGTAAATTTTTTGACTTGTAAAATAAAAACGAATACACGCAAAGACCTGTTCAGTCTATTATAAAGTCTTCACCACTTTCTGTACTGTGGAAACATCAGTTACAGTAAGGCAGAACCGCACCAAAACAAGGCTGGCGTTTACATTAAATTGATGCTTTTGAAGTAAGTTTTCTTTTCTTTTAATTATGTACTTTTGTTTCTGCTCCACAGTTTGGATCTCAGCTCTCTGTTGCCTAAGGTGACTGAGGGCAACTCTGAGCTGCTTGGGATGGAGCCGTCATGCCCTGATACTCTCACTCAGAGTCTGGTGTTCACCAACTCCCAGCAGCACAACAGCAGAGCGCACACACACAGCTACGCTTCTGCTGCTGCTGGCACTTATGCACATGCCGCATCGGTGAGAACATACAGACAATGTGCTTGACTGCACCTTTGTTCTAGTTTTACTTGGGCAGTCTCAATACTATGGCTTTTTTTACCTGTTTAATAATTAAATGTACAAAGTACTGTTCAAATGTTTGGGGCTAGTTTGTAAAATGTTCATTTATAAACTATACAGTTTTACTGGGGCAAATCTTTTCTTCTATTTCTAGTACTTTGGCTATTTAATGGATTTTTAAATATATTTTTTAGCCAATTTTATAATTATTCATACTAATATACAGTACTGTTCAATTGGGTTCCATTGGGTTAAGTCAGGAAAATGTATTATACAAATTATTTCCTACAAATGAATGGTATTTTTGAAGTCCCTATTGATTTAAATTATCCTGAAAGGAAGTATTTTCAGCACTGTAATAACAATTGATTTTTGAGGGCTCTGAATTATCATGCTACTTTTGCCTCCGTCACAGGAATAAATAGGTGAAATGATTATTTAAATCTGAAATTAGGTGGAAACTTAATCATAAATACACATTTTAGCAGATTAATCACAAATTCAGGAAAAACAGCTAAAAAATGTTATTGATTAAATTAGTCCTGTGTGACTTGGCCTAATATCAAAATCTTGATTAATTGAACATTTTAACTCGAAAGAGTGGGGTCACGTGACTCCACGCACGGTAGGGAAAGTAATTGGAAAAAAATTACCTGATAAAATGCAGATTTTCACAGACAAAAGATCGATAATTTGAATGTTGTTTTACATTACTTTTTGAGTAATCGGCTAACCCAAAAACAAATATTTTTGTAACACTTTAGGTCACAATACATGCTATTAACTACTGGTGTATTACCTGCATATTATTATAGGCCTGTCACTATAGTCAATATATTGACTTATCGAGCGACATATGAAAATTAGGGTGGTTGATTGTGGAGTCGCTGATATGATATATGATCTATATCATATAAAGAAATTTAAGATGATTATGAGGCTACATAATATGACAAGCTAAGTTTTTTTTATCAAATGCACATGCTGTGAACACACACAGACAGTGCGTGCGAGAGAGAGCGGACGGTGGAGGTGAAGAAGACAAAATGCGAACCCACTGACTTAACCAAGTTAGGATAAACCAGTTGCGATGGACTTGGTTTTAAAGCTATAGTCTTCAGCTCTGGTGTGGGAACATTTTGGCTTTTAGCCAAATGAGAATAATAAGCCCGATAATGTGAACGACAACTAAATGTGGAGTTGTTTCAGAACAGTGTCAATGAAAAAAGGCTACACAACTTACCATAAAGGTGCAGTAGGTGATTGTTTTCAGAATCATTTTTTGTTGTGCTGGTTGAAAGTCTCTTCACAGTCCAATAGTAATGATTAAGGTAAATAATCAAAATGTGTTTATATGTATTTTTATATTCTGGATACGGCATAAAATTAAAATAAAAAATTCATCCAATTGAATATTGTTGGGCTGACATCTCTCATAATTCCAATAAGTAGCCCAAACTGTCTGTCAACAAATGTAGATTTGGGCTTTTGTGCATCTCTGTTCATGCTTATCCGCCATTAGCGTGTGCATGTCTGCATGCATGTCGCGCGTTCATGACATGTGCACACTAGACGGTCACAGTCACGGTAAAATAAAATGCTGAATTGAACGTTTTTAAAATACTGAATCAATATTGGAGTTACTTTTGCAAGCTGGAGAAAGGACAACACCATGGCTGAAGTATTTCTGTTAGACAGGTAATGCTCTGTATAAACTCTTAGTCACGCAAAGCTGATGTAGATTGTGTTGTTATGAATGGGTTATATACACAGAAGTGTTGTTCAGCCACTGAAATCCTCCGGCGAAAGATAATATGCTAACCGGTTAACATTTTGGCAGATCACCTACTGCACCTTTTAATCACACCTAAAACATAACCAGCCTACCCATTTTTTCAACATGGGAACAACAACCCCAGTTAACTGTAATGGATGCATTTACCTGCCAGTGCAAATATAAACATGACAGCATGAAATTGCACACACAGGCAGGTACCATTATAAACCTAAAGAGATGTAGCCATTAAACACAATTAAAAAAACAGCATTTGAAAAAAAAATGCTGCAAACATTAAACAAACAGTCCTGTCTTGGAATCTGCTTGCTTATTTAAAAAATGGTACCTGAGATGCATTAAAAGTCTACTTTAGACTTACACTTTTTTTGTTTACATCTATTTATTATTACTTATTTGTTTTCAATTTTAAACCTAAATATTCTTCAAAATGTTCTTTGAAACAGTGTACCTGAATTTTTACACTTATATAAAACGATTTTTTAGTAGTGACATAAGTTATAAAGTGGCAATAATATCGTTTATCGCAATTAATTTGGGTGCAATATATCACTAAGCAAAAAATTGATATTGTGACTATATTATTAAGATACTAGCTGTTCATTAGTAGTTAAAAAGTAGGATCCTATTATGCATCCCTAATCCTATTATTCATGACTTCTTCCTTACTAACTGTTAATAAACAGCTAATTCGTGGTTTATTTGGATTGTAGCATTAGTTAATGGTTTGTTAATATCGACCTAAACTAAAGTGTTGCTCCTATTTTCTTTTAACAACATTGGTGTTGAGGAAATTGTTCTGACTTCTTGTTTTGTAATGTTTCTGTTTTCCTTCTAGTCCATGGTGGGATCCAGGCTCCCTCAGAGTGATGTACAGAGAATTGAACCAATCATCACACCCCGAATCACCCCTTTGTCCAATCAGGTTTCAGTGCCCCTCAGCAGTGGTTCTGCATCTGTTGAATCCACTGCTTCATTGCCTCTCGAATCCACACCTACTGTGATTGAGCCCAAGGAGACCCCTGTTACAACAGCTCACCGTTAGTATTACATTCTGTGCTAGAAGTTTTGATTGTGTTCATGGTGTAAAAACTAGCAATGTTATTGGCTGTTGGAATCTAACCACATTTAAAAGTTGCCTAATGTCGAACAAAAAAGATTCAAACTGTCGGATTACATCTTTTTTGTTTTAAGTGGACCTAAAGGCCCAACCTGACCCGTCCCCCATCCTGAGTCATCTGTCCCAGCATCAGAACGCTGCACTCCAGTCAGACCTGCCAACTCAGGCCCGAGATCCAGCCCCACTTCCTCCACATGATGGGACTACTCACACACTGAAACCCCTCTGTGAGCCTGTCTTCACGATGGCGGAGTTGTCACAACCCAGAAACATCAGACCACAGAAACGAAGAGTGCCCCCTCCATCTAAGGTAATGAATACACACTGCAGACTTGAGTTCTATTTTTTTGTGAGCAGTGTATTTTCTCGGCCTTAAAGGTCCTATGACATTCAACCAAGTTTTAGAGGTTAGTATCAGTATGTTAGGTTCAAGGATATCTGTAAGCTAGTGTGCTCCAAAACAGTGACGACATGTGTATTTAGAATCAATAAACCTGATATAAACATCCAAGCTTGCGGTTTCACATCTGCCTAAATGGGTAGATTTTCCTTAACATCGCCTCGCACTTCAGTTTTTCATCAAATCTTGACCAATCAAATGCTCTAGTATCTGACATGTCCTGCCCCCTTCAGGATGTCTTTCATTTGACATGTTTGAGTTCTCTTCCTGGCAGAGCAATGAAAAAAACGATATGCTACTGGCTGTTTTTTTTTAATTAAGTGGAGGAGCTACTATGTCCCGCCCTGTCTTTGTTTCAGTTGAGATTACGTCAGATGTTGAATAAAAATGCACTTTTCAGAGCACTTAACAAGACCTTTGAAATCATTTAAAGAATTATCCTAATTTACATAAGAACAATGTGTTAATATTAATAATGTGTTTCGGTTGCCAGATCCCCTCTTCTGCAGTAGAGATGCCAGGCTCTGCTGATGTGTCTGGGCTGAACGTGAAGTTCGGTGCGCTGGATTTTGAATCTGAATCTGCCGTGGAGAATCTCAACCAATCAGAAAGTCATCATCAAGAACCAGTGGCGGAGGCTCCAACTCAGTGCAGCCTATACACCAAACCAACTGCCATCAGGTCTGTTTGGCCATCTGTGTAACAAGTAAATGACTGGTTTTATTTAAGTTTCCGTTAAAAGAGTCGTGAAACCCTGTTTCGGTAGTGTTTTTTTTTTTTTTTTTTTTTTTTTTCACCAGCGATTTGAAAAGATTTTGGAAAGAAATGAGGTTTTGCCAGCTGTTATCAGGTCAGGGACTGCATAAAGGGGTGTTTCATTACACACTGGTAAAATTTAGAGCAATGCTGAAAGCAGCAGTTTGCAAAAGCAGTTCTGAGAGCAGTTCTCCCCATCAGAATCCTGCCCGAATCACACAGTGGTCTGATGGATGAAATTGCTGGTTCACCGCTTTTAAATAATGAACACATTACCAAACCAAATAATTGAATCAACAAGTAGAACACACTCATTTGTGTGATGTGCTCTGTTAAGTTATTCATCCTGTTAAGTTCAAGCAGACAGAAAGTCTAAACGTTTTTAATTATGTCTAATTTGTGCAACCAAACATGAAGTTTTTTTTAAAAAATGCATCTAAAACTGTGCCAGAGCTTCACAGGCAGGAGTTAATTTATCAGGCTAACTAGATGTTGCATCTGGTAATAACTGTATTGTTAATCATTTTTTCATGTTAGTAAACACTAGTGGTGGGCCGTTATCGGCATTAACGTAAGACTCTTATCGCGCGAAAAAGAAAAAAATATCGCCGTTAATCTATTCTCTAAGTTGGGTTGGGAGCTGGGTCTATTCTACACAAGATTTGATGACTTTCATCTTGATATTTTATCGCGGATGTATACCTGACCGGTGAGCCATCTGACATCAAATCAGCAGGATGCCTGACTTTAACTGCAGTTCGGCAGTTTTACTTTAACTCATAAATATTTTATTCATTCCCTGTGAAAAACTGGGTTATAAGACGCAAATAAGGAGTAAGGACTGGTGAGAGTGTTATCGAATTATATAAGGCTCGCCAAATAGAAAGAAATAAAACCTACGCATTTTGCAAAGTTTTGTGTGGGTGTGTGCGCGTGTGCACGGGGTCCTTGACTGACAGCCGCGCAGCAGCAGTTTTAACATGTGACACGACATCTGAAGTACAGATGCCACTGAGTGTAGTGACACTTCTGGTGGCATTGCCGCTTTTCACTGTCATGTCACTCGGTAGTGTCGTGGTGCTATGACATGGACACATGGCTAAGCTTAATGAAACTAATCAAAACTTGCAAAACGGTATTTAATCATTACATGACTTTTAACAAGATTTATTGCGTCGCAAGTTAGTTTATATGCTGGACTACTCCATGATGTTTTAATTTAAAAGCATCTATTTTATGTATTCGAGTTATACTTCGCATATTTATTGCTACTATGGATAATATTTAGTCATTTGACAATAGATATCAGTGGATATCAAACTTTTTGTGACATGCTGGTCTGTTGTGCCATATATTATTGAATAGTGGCGATTCCTTTGTTGGCTACAATATGGACTTCGTTTGTTAATTAGTTTACTTTAATAATGCCACTTATATACATACTCCATGTCTTAATTCCATTTTTGTTTAGTTCAGTTATGAATTCAGTCGGATTAAGGTAATCAAAAATCACTGTTTGGAGCTTATGTAGGCCTACAGTTCAAAATCCATGTTTAACTGAATAAACAGTTAGTAAACACAATTACATCTTCTTGAACAATTTTTCTTTACCAATTTTTGTAGTAGAACAGTTTCTCAAGCAATTTGAGCTTTTTTTTTTTTTTTTAAACAGGAGATGAGCCCCTGGTCTAAAGCGCCACTTGGCTTGAGAAACCCGTTTTCAAAGACTTATTACTTGGGTAGCACATATATTCTGAATGCCTTCGGCAGAATTCAAATGAGCCATTTTAATCTAGATTAATCCCTAAATTAATTTAGAGGAAATAGAATAATCTATGCCCGCCTATAGTAAATACATTAATGCATCATTATTTTTTGTGTGTTACTTTTTATTTTAGCTACTTTGCTTTAACCGTTAAATCCTACTAGTTTTAGCTTAAATGTGGCAAAAATAAGAGATTTAAAAAACTTTTACCCCACCCCCCTTGTTTACAGTAGCAAGTTGGCATGGCAACCGGTTGATATGGTATGATGGCAATATGCCAGAGGCAGCATTTTTAAAATGTACTTATTTAAAAAAATATATATATATTTCTGAGTGCCGCATTATGTTTAGATGCAAAGATGTGCTTCGTGCGAATAGTCCCTAATCAAATCTTTTTTTTATTTTTTTCTTATTATTATTATTCCCATTTTAGTGAGTCTTTAGGTAGCTTGCCTCCAGCAGCAATGGAGCCCAGTTACCCCTCAGCATCTCTGGGTTTACCAAGCACTTCAGTCCCTCCTGCCTTGAGTCCATCTTCAACCAGCAGAGTGGAATCATCCAGCACCACCCCTCTAAGTGTATGACCTTTATTCTTTTCATTTGTTTCCTCATTTAATGTGCTTTTTTTTTTTTTTTTTTTTCTTTCAAATTCAAAATTGCATTTCGTGGGATTTGTTGCTTTGTAGATGCTTTGTTCTTTGCAGCCCATCCAGAATATGTACTCTGTCTATAGATAACAGTGGTGTTGGTTATTAAGTCCGCCATGACTGGATGGGGAAAAATTACAGTACATATTTGTGTTTGTTATTGTGAGTTGTATTACTTTTTAAGATGGATTTGGGGCAAACAAACACAGAGCGGTGTTAAGTTTTCAGGTTCTTAAACTATTCTGTGGTTGTCCTTCGCAATCTCTGATGTATGTTTGACTTACTGCAGGGGTGGCCAACCCTGTTCCTGGAGATCAACCTTCCTGCAGATTTCAGTTGCAACCCTTATCAAAGACACCTGCCTGTAATTATCAAGTGGTTTGATCAGGGTAGGAACTAAACTGTGCAGCAAGGTAGATCTCCAGAAAAAGGGTTGCGCACCCCTGACTTACTGTGTACATGGTTGTACATCAGTGATGCAAAGCTGTTTGGTTAGAAAGTGATGCACTAACAAAAAACATCATCTGTATTTAGATGACTTATGTTTTAATGCCAATCAGAGTCTAGAAACACTTGTTCAAACTATTATTATTTTTTTACTTTAGATGATAGGTAAATGGTGTTGTTTATCCAAAAATCAATATTTGCTTATTTGCTTTCCCTGAGGCTGCTCAGTGATATTTTTCGACTTTGAATGAAAACCACTGACTTGCATTTCATCAATCAAGTACCACAGTTTCATGTTAAATTCTGGCTCTACTGGATTAAAAAAAACTTTTACATGGCTAGAAATGAACCTTTTTGCAAACAACCAAAATATTTGCGGTTGTGGCTTCCTGTCCAAACCCACTGAGATTATTTGTTTAGCCTGTATATGCTTTTTGACTGTTAAAGTATTATTAGCCATTGACTTTCATTCAATGAGTTACCAAGGGCCACAGTTGCAAAAAACTTTAGAGTTCTTCTGAAGTAGAAGACCCTCAGACCTCCAAAGTACTAGGTGAGGGTAAATTGCCAGCAAATTTTTAAATAAACAAGTATATTCTGAAAAGTTAATTGATAAATTGGTTTCTTTTTGTGGACTAGGCTATGGAGGATGAGGAAGCTCTTGGTTTTCATCTAAAATATCTTAATTTGTGTTCAAAAGATGAACAACGGCACATCCAGACATGACTATGGTTTGCAGTTGGGGAGGAGGAAATATTCCACAGCTTGAGATGCTTTTGTGTGGTTTCTAGCTTTGATATTGGTTTTCATGTAAACCAGTAATGTGGGTTATTTCAGTAAGATGATCTTTGTGAGTTATCAGTATTGATGTTTGTGTGCATAAACGTGCTCCTTGAGCTTCAGAAAGCTTTTGGATAAAATTCTCAGTGGTCTATATGAACTAAATGTCAGCTAAAACTTATAACACATGGCTGCATCTGTAATTCCATAATTTCATGATCTGGGGTTGACAATAATTGATAAAATTATACCTTAATCTAAAAAAGTAGCTAAAAGGCCAGGTTGAAAGCATGGCTCATTTAGTATGTCTAGATAGGTCGGTATAAGATTCTGACCTTGATGATAACCTTGGATATAAAAATCACAGTATTGTGATTACTGCTCTAAAAAAGGTTCTTTTGAAAGGTTTGGGTAAAAAAAAAAAAAACTTTTCCCCCCCCATTAAACACAATATATTTTATTTTGAGACACATTTAAAATATTTCGTAACGGTAAACATGTCAGGGAAAATAATTGAATTGAATCATTGACTACTTCTGTTTTCATTTGTTTTGAAAACACAGATTTCTGTATGATTTAAAACGGCATCTTTGGAGATCTTTTCTGCTGGAGATACTGTTGTCCTAAAAAAAAACATAAATAAAAAAAATCTTACATGTACCTCAGAAACAGAGTTACAGAAAATTTGGCTTTTAAAAACCTTGACTTTTCCAAACCGTGGTATACCTTAAACGGTTATCGTCCCATGCCTAATTCGTAATGTATATAGTACGTACTTTAGTTTAATAAGGTAACTAAGTAATTTAACCAAAATAAGAACCTTTTGAGTGTGTGGTTTCAGATACAACCCATTTTCTAGATTGTTACAGGTGGGTTTGTTTGGTTAGAGATGGAGAAAAACTCTAAAGACTAGTTCTGCAGTTGTCCAACCCTGATTTAGCCTAAACCTGTTTATTAATTTTCCCCAGAATGGATTCACTGAAATGAGGACATCCAGCACACAGGAAGGTAACAGAGTTTTGTGAATAGCAGATTTTCCATTTGTACGTTCTTTTCTATTTGAATATCTAAACAAATGACATTGACCTGATTTATTTGCAGCAGTTCCGTCAAGCACCCCTCAGACTGTATCCGCTGTTCTGCCCACCGAGAACGGGTTGCCGTCTTCATCGCTTACATCTTCCTCTTCATCCGCACCGCCTGCCCTCAGCGCACCCCTTCCATCACTTAGCAGGTACTGTCATTCCTTTAGGCTTACAGTCTAAGGATTCCCAAATAATGAAATGAGTGTGCTTATGGTGTCATGTTTGCCTGTTCCCTCAGTCATGTGAGCAGTGTTAACTCCCCTGCTGCTTCTGGACCCACCAGCTCTTCCCTAAATGTAAGTATCTTGTCAGGTCCTCGTATTTTCATTGTTTTTTTTTTTTCTTTTTTTTTTTCCCTCCAGGTTCCTCGCTATATTTCCACCTTTTCCTGACCAGTTTTTAAAAAGGCCTATTGACCACCTCTGTGCATGCTGCTCTGGTTTAGGAAAGGCTTACCTGCACACCAGCCATCTCAGTCCCGAATGAAAGTTTTTTTTCATCAGCAGGGGCATTGTGACTGTGCAAAGATCTTGGCTTATGCCAAATAACATAGATATGCTGATATTTTTTAAATGTCAAATCCCCGCACAGTCACAGTTTTAGTTTATTTGTATTAAAGAGCCTTTCATTTGTATTGTTTTTTTTATGTGAAATTCATTAAATTTGTAACTTGGCTACAGTCAAAGTTTTGGTTTGTTTATGTTAAAAAGCATAAACCATTTTTTTTTTTTTTTTTTTTTTTTTGCACTTGTCGAACTTTTGAATTTTAGAAATAGCTATTTAATTATGGTAGAAAACATTTTATTTGGTAAAAATGTGCAGCATTTAAGAAAAAATGAAAGGGCGCTTTTTCATAATAAATTTGTTGAAAATACTTTTGTTAAAATCATATCGTGAATCAAATTAGATCGTGAATCAGTATGAAATTTGATTCGTTTTTGTGTGTTCATGTGCAGCTTTTTGGTTGTTAGCCAACAACAATTGCTTTTTAGGAGGTTTAATATCATAAATTTGTGAGTGATATCACTGTTAAATGAAAGAAAATGTTTTTTCATATCCAGATTGGCACCGATGTGAATGTGAGCTTGTCAACATACTCTGGCTCTGTGTCAAGCGTGTCCAGCTCAGCGGTCATCTCGAATGGCCTGAGCACAGGAACCCAGAGCATCACCACTAATGGCCCTTCTGCTCCCTCTGCAGTTCGTTCTGCACCTCCTCAGACTAACATCACACCCTCCAACAACACTGGTCAGTCACACAAACACTGTTCTAGCAGTTGGTAAAATGCTTATTGTTACTGATGTTTTATTTAAATATGTATTTCTGTATTTTTTTTATTTTCCACACATTCCTCCAGGTAAAGCGCCTCCAAATTTGGCACAAGGAGTACCGCCACTGCTGCCCAGTCAGTACATCATGGGCCCTGGTGGCCTCCTCCCTGCTTATCCGGTTAGTTCTTTTGCATATTATATACAATATAGGCATTTATCATTTATATTTATCTAATAGTTTTTGTTTTTAATCTTTGTCATCTCTTCCTGAAGCCAATCTATGGATATGAGGATCTACAGATGATGCAGTCACGATTGCCCATGGTAACAAAGTCGTAGCTTCTATCAGCATTACAATTGTTTTTTTAAGTGCAAACTTTTAAAGAGCACAACAAAAACTCTTAACAAGTTAAATTGAACTTTGATTCATTTCACTTCCCTGGATGCAGGATTACTATGGCATGTTTCCTGGTACAGCACTAGCTGGCAGAGATGGAGGATTAGCAAGCAATCCCTACTCAGGTAAGCAGCCATTGTTGCAATTGCTTTAAAATGCAAAGACTGTTAGACTACTATGAGTTGTTGCATTCCAGTAGAGGTCTTTTAGCTCTTAGATTTTTAGCAACATGAGTATTTAATTTTCAAATGAAAGGCGGTAGCAGTTGTCCACTTTTGAGAGCTTCAAAGCATTTTGTCTGACAGTAGTTAGTCACTCAGGACATTTCATATCAAGTAAATACAGGACATTACATGGGTTTCTTGACATAAGATCTAATGGATTTTACTACATTGATTGTGTGGAGAATAAAAACAAAAGCAAGTGTCCACAAAATGAATCTTAAGCAGGTTTAGCGAATTTCCACTGAGTGGTCTGGTAGGGTTCACTACTTTTATGGCTGTTTCCACTGTCAAAAAGTACCTAAAAGTGAACCGTACCACTTTTTGGTCACCTTTTGCAAAGGCTGCAAGGCAGGACAAAGGGTACCAAAAGGCAGAGCTAAAGACTATTGGTTTACAGAGATGCGTCACTCACAATAGCAGGAGAATGAAAACAAAGGAACCACCATTTTTAAAAACAAAGCAGAGACATTACACCATTATAATATATTATATACATAATAACAAACCATGGTTGACCCGAGCCCAATCAAACCTTGTCATCGTCTCGATGAACGGCCGCAAAGCCAAGAAGAACATGTGTCCTCTGTGTCCTGTTGTTGTTTTATGAGCCTGTCTAAAAGTGCGAGAGGTTTCACTCTCTCCAGGGAGCTTGCGAACATGTCTATATTTGAAACAGCAATCTTCTTGGACTAATGATAATAATTTGCGCGTGATTATTGAAGTTTTCCCGACACCATATCCTTTCAGAAATGGACAAATGTGAGAGTGAAGCGTGAAAAAACAAAGGAGCACATTGTTTCAGCAACCTGAATCATGATCAAACTGCCTTTTGGATATTGTACCCTTGGTACCCTTTAGGCAGTGAAACGCAAGCCTGATAAAGGTGACCCGTACCGACTCGTACTGTACCAGTCAGTGGAAACGGGCCATTAGAGTTTAGAAACGGGAAAGCAAAGATGAGAACAGTCTAAATGTACAACTCGTGTTTCTCATTACAGGTGAGCCTACCAAATTTGGCCGCAGTGACTCCAACTCCCCAGCCCCTGCCACCAGTCTCTCCACAGTGCCCCCCTCTCAGACTCAACAGAATGCTGTCCCCCCACAAAATCAAGGGCCGCAGAATCCAGGTCAAGCCCAGCAGGGTCAGACCCAGGCCTTCCTCAACCCACCTCTCCCTCCAGGTTATGGCTATACCAGCCTGCCCTACTACCCCGGGATGCCAGGAATGCCTAGTGCCTTCCAGTATGGCCCCACTGTTTTCATGCCCCAAACATCTACAAAGCAACACAACATGGGCCCATCCAGCCAATACCAGCACCAGGCTGGATACAGCCAGCACACATATGGACCAGGTAAATGTTTTAAACTTTTTTTTAATCAACACCAACAAACCCCACACTACAATGACATCAATATTATATGTCGTCAACATCGGTGTTGCAGAACTACAACCTCAGTTTCAGTTTGGCATCGTTTTAGCATATTTGGTGATGCATTTAACAAAACTGTTTTGCCTATTGTAACAAATTTCATATCTTATTTTATTTTTTGCATGGTCTGAACATGAACCGGGTCAAATTTCTTAAAAATCGGACCAACTGCCTAAAAATATCAAAATGACTGATTTAACTTTTACTGACTTTGGCAAAATTGGTGTCTATGTTGTCAGCATGACCCAAATAATAACAATACAATAAGCCAAAATAATATAATATACTATACTATACAAGTTTTTACCAATTTTGAAAGTTTCATTATTTTTTGTTGATAGATGGTTTATTACTCTTGACCAATAGGTGTGGTCTATATGTGTGGTTTATGTGGTGTTGGCAGTGTGATGTGCCAGTGTTTCCTTAAGCTTGATTGAAATACACTTGAGCTTTGCAGAGATGTAGTCTCAGATGCAGTTTGGCATCTTGCCAGCCCATTTTTAGTGCAAACTGTCAACATGATTGCATAATTCTTTGTCAGCATGATCTGAAGAGGACTTGAAGATATTACTTGTTTTTTTAAATGTATATTAGACAATATTACCATTTATTTAAAAAAACTCCCCCCCCCTTTAAGGTTTTGATGAGCTGTCCCAGGCTCATGCTGGCGGAGAATATGGGAAAGTAGGATATGGAGGGAATTCCCTGTCACAGTCCAAAGTGGTCAACAATAATACAGGAAAAGGTAAGTGTTGGTGGTCCATGGGCTTCTGCACATTCAATGATTCAAAAAATGCAACTTACTAAAACATGTATTGTCATCTTTATTAACTGAATGAAAAAACAAAGCAGACTTCAGTGTTTTTAATGGGGCCCTTAAACTAAAGTTTTTAAAATGAGGATGTACTTTTTCAATGAAATATACAATTTTGAATGTATCTGGTTCCTTTGTTTTTAGATGCAAGTATGAAAAAAAATTGCCATTTAGTTAAAAATAGCCACTTGTAAAATTAGGCTTGAGGTATTAGCATATATTGGGTATTATTTAAAATTAATGTGTAATCTTATTATTGTTATGCTTGAGACTGTTACACCATGGGGCAGATTTGAGAAATGTAATGACACAGCAGTTTTTAAAACAAGAGGTCCATGGAAGAAAAAATGTTTTAGCTTTGCATTTTAAACATTGACAATAATTATATTCATTTTTGTCACGTGTGGTAGTGAAAATGCTTCATCTCGTCAACATTCCATATATAAAAAAATATATGTATATATTTTATTTTTGAAACTGGTACATCTTAAAAACATGCTCTGTGGTTTATAAGTTCTAGTGATATTGTTACATTTTTCTACATGTAAACACACTTACTGAGTTTTTGGTATCATATCAACTCAAACTATTCAACTCTTGAATAACTTTTGCAATTGTAATTAACCATTGTGAAGTTTATAGCATTCATGTTATTTGTTGCATCGCTAATCGATTTTCTTTCTCAGCACCAGGACTGTCGGGATCTACGAGTTCAGAGCTCACTGGAACAGTATATAGCAAGAACCAGGTGAGGTTCTCCTTGTGTGTTTGTTTTATTTATTGGGGATCTCTGTTTCTATAAATCAATGTGGCTTATGCACAGGGACTTTCAATTCTTAGTAAGTTAGCTCAAGATTTTCTGTTGCTGTCATGCCACTTTAAAATCAGCATGTTTAAGATATGGTTTCTTTAAAAACAATGATTTTCAGTGTCTGATTGATACACCTTATAAAGTGGGTTTAATGAAGCCAACAATATTTTCAGTGGAGTTTCTGATGGCATTTTTATTTAACGTCTTTCATGTCATTTTGAACAGCTAAATGAATGCTTAAGTCTGTTTGACTGATTATATTTTAATTAAGTTACATTATGCAATAAAAATGACCTTATGGAATTGAAAATAGTCTCACCTTTCAACAGAAGTTTATCGGTGACTGTGCATATAATAATAATAATAGCATTCCTTACATTTCAAAATAAAAGAATATCAAAATGAAGGATTATCAAAGCGCTTTAAAAAATTTTGGGGGAATCTCCTCCTCCACCACCAGTGTACAGCATCCACCTGGATGACGTGGTGGCAGCCATATTGCACCAGACCAGACACCAGCTGATTGGTGGAGAGGAGACGGTGATGAAGCCAATTATTGTATGGGGGTATTAGGAGGCCATGATGGACCAGTGGGCAAATTTGGCCAAGATACTTGGGGTTCAACTCCTACTTTTTCAATGGACATCCTGGGATTGAATTTTCCATTAATCTATTTTTAACCTGAATCATGCAAGTTTAGGCGACCTCTCCCTGTTTTAAAGAACAGACTAGTGGGCTTGTATTATGAAACAATGAGCAAATGAAGTGTGTTATTTTCTTCTGAAATATGCCTAGGAAAATGTGCAGATAATGAAAAAGCCAATGTTTTATGCTGCTGAAAATACCAGTGATCTTCATATTTATTCAGATGCTTTGGTTACTGGAAGACTGAAATCACCAATACTGTTTCCCAGATAATACCTGTCTTATTTATTTTTTTTATTTTTTTTACATTTTCCAATTCAGCAATCTTTTTATTTTTATTTTTTTAAGATGAGATACAAATTTTGATTTAGTAATTTAACTATGAATGTATGTTTGCTTCAGCCCTGAGAGAGAGCAGCACAGAGTGGATCATATACCCGAATTGGCCCGGTCCACAAATTGTGATCCATTTGTATTACACAAAGCTTTATTTGAAAGCAGAAAGATGGCCAGTCAGACTTTGTTATACTTTTATAAACTGCCAGTCAGAGCTGAGATGAAGTGCTTCAGACTTATGACTGCTACAGAGTTTTGATTTAAATGGAATGGAAGATATACTTAACTAACAGACTGCAACTTTTATTTTAATTTCACGGGACCTTTAAGACTACTATCGCTGCTATATTTTGAATACGTTTCAAGAGATTTAACTGTACATTCTGGTAAGCGTGGGATGGAATAGCGTCGCAACAAGTAGTACTTGTACTACTACGCTACTAGCTTAACTACATTTCTCAGTAGCTTGGCCGTAGCGTCGCTAATTTCTAAATCAATCAGCTTTTCAGTAGCGAAGCTATTTTATTAGTCAAGTAGCACAGTAGCGTCCACACAAGCTACATTTACAGATCACGGATCAATAAGTGACGGCACCGACATTCACGGAGCTGTGAGGCCGGTGTGTAGCCAGTGATAGTAAATCCATATGATGGCTAGAATGAGGAATTCTTCCTGTTTTACGGTGTTCAACAACAAACTTTTTGGTGCGTTACTGCCACCTCTGGTTGGCGATGTCGCCTACCGAAACTTGATGGAAAGATGACTGAGGGAGAGGAGTTATTTCTGAAGCAGGATTCCTCATGACCATACCTCTAGAAGTATATTTTAAGATACAATATCTTGTATGTATTCATTATTCCCAAAAAAATCCCTTTACTATAGTATTTGTAACACCTGGTTTTATTGGATTTTTTGTTTTAGCTGCAATACTATAATTGGTTTCTGTTTAGTAAAGCATACTATTTACAGTAAATAACTGAACTGAACTATTATGCCTCATATGTTTCATTGACAGTTCTATTAATCACTAAGATGTGATTGACTTGGATTTAATCTGCTTCGATATCAAAATAAAAATTGCAAAAATAGCTTTGATGTAGCTAAGCTACTTTTGACTTGTAGCTTTTAGCTTAGTTTGCTACATATCCCAGGAGGTAGCTTTTAGCTTAGTTAAGCTACATTTTAAGTAGAGTTGCTAATAGCTTAGCTCACTACATTTTTCAAGTTGCTTGCGCAACACTGTGATTTACACATTACAATAATTTTTATTTTTAAATTATGTATGCATTAACCCTTATTAAGCCTATTTGTCTTTGCTGACCCCTCTAGACTTTTGAAAAGCAGGGTTTCCCTACAGCAGCTGGCCCTGCATTTAGCCTGCCCTCCGCTCTGGGAGGAACCGGCCCCCTTAACCCTGCAGGAGCCCCTGGATACGCACCCGCACCCTTTCTTCATATCCTGCCCCATCAGCAGGCCCCCTCACAGTTACTGCACCACCACATGGGTCAAGACACACAGGTACACCTAAAAAAACATCCAAAATGTAATACTGAAGTGTTTTGGAGATGCCTTGCAGTCAAGTTTAACACAAAAACTATTGCAAATCAAATTTTTGAAAAGGAATCGGTCTATCTTCCAATTAATATGGTAGTAAATCAGTATTTAAACATTTAGTTTAAGATCAAAGCTCTATCCTTTTCATTGTCAAAAAAAAAACATTATGCAGTTTTCAGTGTCATTTTGATAATGATAATTGATCATTTGTTTAAATATCTTACCCTTAGGGGTGCAACGGATCATGGTTGATTAGTGATTAAGACGGATTACAACCCCCAGTTTGAAATGCACATGACCCACGGAATGATAACTTTTTTGAACTTGTTGGTTAATCCAACACATAACTATTACAGAGAGGTCCCCTCTCTCGTCATTCAGATCACGTGTATGAAAGCAATTTGTTTTCCCTGAAAAATATGATGACTGATAAGTTGTGGTGGGACCTACCTAAATGCTTTTTTAGGTTATTAATTAAAGGTGTTTTGGGTCACAAGCTATGTTTCCAATCACCTTTATGCGCATTTTGGATAAAAACCATATGCGCATAACTGAGGAGGATAATCATTAGATAAGAAAAGGTGCACATAAACTGCGATGGAAACACTTTCACCAAACAAATTCCAGTACGCACATTTAAAAAGGTCATGAGATTGTGTTAAAAGAGGTCATGTGATGATGAAAATATGTGCAAATGGATGAACCAGCAGGCTGAGCACACTGTAAAACATCTGGAATGTTGTTTTGGTCATTCTAAAACGCCGTAACCATGTCAGTTATTAATGTTATTATATTATTAATTACCTCTAGAATCCAGAGCCACCGTGCGTTCACTCCTTGTCAGGATTAACTTTTGAGGCGCAACTCATTTTTTAAATAAAGAAAAGATTCAAGCAGCTTCTCCCACTACAGCAAATTGTGTTTTTAAACATAGCTACTGTTTGTTTAGCCTGCTTTAGTTCATTTAGTGTAAAGCTGCACAATTAAACATTAAAGAAACGCGATCTCAGTTGAAATCTGCGCAACATGAATGGTAAATAATAATGATTTGCATATGTTTATTAATCCTTCAAAGCGCTGCATTCACATCTGTGTTTGATCGAGAGGGATTCGGTTTTCACACTTTTTCAATTAGATACAAACGATTGAATAAAAGAGGTACTGGGAGAACAGTTAACCTGAAATCTCACACTGAGTTTTAAGACCTTTTAAGACAAGGTTGGATCAAGTGGTTTTCACCAGAGGTCATATTGGACATGAATAACCCCTTTTTTGCTCAAAAGTGAAAACCCTACTCAGTGTTTGTACTGCACAACTCCCCTTACTATAAAAGACATTTTACCAGACTGTCCTGCTTTTAATGACTCCAAAAGAATTTAAGAAATGAACTCTAAGGACATTTTTAGCAGTCACACCAGAAAAGATTTTCAAATTTTTGTCATGTATTAACACAAAAAAATCTTATTTAATTCATACATTCATTCATTTGTTGATTTTTAATTGTATATTTAATAACCTCCTAGGGCTTGAGTGTCCACATACGTGGACGGCACATTTTAGCTCTTAAGTGGAAATTTTAAATACTTTGTTTTATATTTTGTTACAGACGTACAGTGTCATCCTGCAACTGTTTTGCAGCATATGAAATGTCCCAAACCCTATTTTTAACTGTCCAAATTGGGGGGGAAATGTTGTTTTTACTCTCTGATAGTCAAAGCAAGTAAAAAAAAAAATTCTACGCTAAATATGCATTAACACTTACAAAAAAGTGTTATGTAAATTCAGACCACGAATCCACATATATGAACAATTTTTCTCTAAAAGTACATTATATTAAAATATGATACTTTTTATCATATTAAACCAACATATCAACCATATTAAAACCACCTTGGGCCTTAAGAAGTTATTGAAATGGAGAACAGTTTATAGTTCAGATATAAACTGACATTTATGTAAACACTGACATTTATGGTAAAGATTTAAACCACCCTTATGTTGTTGCAGTTACGCTGTTTAGCCAACAGGTGGCGACAAACAACCAATAAAATTGTCACTGAAAAGGCTTTCAGAAATGATCCACCTATAATGAAACATGAAGTTTTATGTGTGATTTGAGTCATTAATTGATAATAAATATGATCTGTTGTACAAGATGTTATATTTCCATATTTAGCATTATCATTATTATGAACTGAACTGAACCTAAACACTAAAAACTGAACTACCCTGATCTAGTCACTATGACCATTTATGTGAAGCTGCTTTGACACAATCTACATTGTAAAAGCGCTATACAAATAAAGCTGAATTGAATTGAACTATCAGCAACAGTTGCAAGGATCATTTGGTTCTTCCTTAATTTTTTATTTTTATTAAAATTACTGGTTCTAAATTCTGTTAGGGTTAGAAATCAAAAAATCTATGTTTTTTTGCAATAATATTTCGTAAATCAAATGGCAGTTGTCTTTTCTCCCTATTTTGCTGATCAAATAATGGTCCGATCTGTGACTCAACCGTAGTGTGATTCGAACCGTGATATCTGTGATGCGTTACACCACTACTTATCGTGTTTGAAATAGTAAGCTTTGTATGAGCTAATTTGGGTTTTTTTTTTCTCATTGTCTGCAGGGCCAACGCAGTCAGTCCAACAGCATGCAGAAGAGCCAGAGCAAGTCCAACTACAGCAGCTCTCCTTACTGGACTAACTGAATGCAGCGTTTATACTGTTAACGATGACAAAAGCCCAAATCTGTGTGTCCGCTCTGTCCTGCCTCTAACACGAGATGCTATATATACTCATACACTGTATCAGTTTCCCCACCCCCCTCCTCCAAAGTTCTCCTCTACTTCTCCATTTTCTTCCTTCTCTGAATTAGGTTGTTCATGTAAGATATTTATGTAAGTATTTATATATACTGTAAATGTTACAAAAGAAAAAAAACTGAACGTGGTCAATGCGGTCACTCCATTTTATTTTTTTGAAGGACTTTTGTTTTTGTTTGTTTTAACTGCAAAGATGTAGCAAAAAATAAAGGAAGCATTTTGAGAAACTTCAAAGGCATTGCAGTTAGAACTTAAGAGCACTGATGGTGGAGGAGGGTGAACTGTAGGCGTTTTATCTTTTCAGACATCTTGAGAGGCTTCACAAACATCAAGAGCGCACCACTCATGAGTGCTTTCCTCTAGGGATTGTTCTCCAGTATAATGGTTCTGAAATGTTGGTCCTTGAAGGAAAAAAACTGCCCATAAATTTTATATTTTACTCTTATTGCCATCTGAATAAAGGTTCTGAGCTATTCACTCATGTTTGTGTCTTGCTTTTATAATGTTGAAGTGATGTTTTAAACCTGCATTAAGCTGTATTACAATAGGGTTTTTACCAAAGTAATAGTTTGCTATAGTGTACATTAAAATGCTTTAAGTTCTGGATACGGTCCTAGTCATGCTTTGCACTAGTTTCAATGCTACTTTAACTGTTCTGAACTGTGTTATACACTGTTTCGACTTATTTCCAAATGTCAGATTTGGTATAGAAACATTACACACCCAAATCTAAATCAAAGTGTTACACTTTTTTTTTTTTTTTTTGAGCACTCGACGCACATTGCAGAAGTGTAAACCAGCCTTAACCCTCTGATGCACTACATGGCTCTAAAGTGACCCGTCTTAAGTTTATTTTTTTCTACATCTATTTTATAGCTTGTGCATCAAAGGGTTAAGAGAGAATCTTGACAGTCATTTTGAAGTTTAAAAATACTTTAAACTATTTTTTATATAAAAAAATAATAAAAATAAATTTTATAAATTCATAAATTTTATAATTTTTTTTTTTTTTATAAATTTCAAAATACTTTTCTAAATGAGTTAGTAAAGCTTACATGGACAAACCCATGACCCTTTGAATTTTACAGAGGGAGTGATTTTGCTTTATATGTATAATCCAGCACCTGTTCAGTGCATCCGGAATGTATTCATAGTGCTTCACTTTTTCCACCCTTTTTTTGTTAGCTTTATTCCAAACTGAATTCAGTTCATTTATTTCCTCAAACTTCTACACACAATGCCCCATAATGACAATGTGAAAAAAAGAGTTTTTGAAATTGTTGCAAATTTATTAAAAATAAAAAAAAACTGAAAAATCACATGCACAGAAGAGTATTCACAGCCTTTGCTGTAAAGCTCTAAATTGAGCTCAGGTAAATTCTGCTTCCACTGATCATCATGTTCAGGGCCGGAGTGGGACACCTTTTCAGCCCTGGAGTTTCAAGCCTCAGACCGGCCCACCTCAGTTCACGACTGACTATATTAAAATAAGTAAATAAATAAATATTTCCAAATCAGTTTCTAATGACACTATTACGTCTTTTTTTTTTCTTTTTTTTGAGAAAACAGCTGCTTTAGAACTTCAAATGTTCAACAACCCTAACAGTATTATATGTTTTATCAATAAAAATGACAAGACCAATTTACTCTAAGAAGGATCGAACCCGGGTCCACGGGGTCTTAACCTAACATGCTAACTGCTCGGCCACAACACAGTTTTATAATTATTAAAATAGATCAAAGGAGAAGAGTTGCGGTATAAAAATGAATAAAATGGCTGTGGTCAAGTAAATAAATAAATTTAAAAAGTGTGACCGCTGAGAGCAACAGATTCTGGAGCTAGAGACACCGGCCCTCGCGGCCAAAAAACGGACCGGCCCACCGGGAATTCTCCCGGTCCTCCCGATTAGCCAATCCGGGCCTGATCATGTTTCAGCAGCTTAATTGAAGTTCACCTGTGGTAAATTCCGTTGATTGGACATGATTTGAAAAGGCATACACCTGACTATATAAGGTCCCAGGGTTGATAGTGCATGTGAAAGCACAAACCAAGCATGAAGACAAAAGAATTGTCAGTAAACCTCTGAGACAGGATTGTCTCAAAGCACAAGGCTGGGGAAGATTACAGAAATATTTCTGCTGCGCTGAATGTTCTGATGAGCACAGTGGCCTCCATCTGTAAGTGGAAGATGTTTGGAACCACCGGGGCTCTTCCTAGAGCTGGCCGGCCATCTAAGCTGAGTGATCAGGGGAGAAGGGCCTTAGTCTGGAATGTGATCAATAACCTAATGGTCACTGTCTGAGCTGCAGCGTTCCTCTGTGGAAAGAGGAGTATCTTACAGAAGGACAACCATCTGTGCAGCAATCCACCAATCAGGCCTGTATGGTAGAGTGGCCAGATGGAAGTCACTCCCGACTGGAATTTGCCCAAAGGCAGCTGAAGGACTCTCACCCCATACGAAACAAAATCCTCTGGTCTGTTGAGACTAAATTTGAACTATATTTAAAGTGAACTCCAGGTGTTACATTTGGAGAACACCAGGCACCGCTCATAACCAGGCTAATACCATCCCTACAGTAAAGCATGGTGGTGGCAGCATCATGCTGTGGGGATGTTTTTCAGCAGCAGGAATTGGACGACCAGTCAGGATAGAGGGAAAGATGAATGCAGCAATGTACAGAGACATCCTGAAAGAAAACCTGCTCCAGAGTGTTTTGACCTCAAACTGGGGTGACTGTTCATCATCCAGCAAGACAATGACCCAAAGCACACTGCCAAAATATCAATGGAGTGGCTTCACAACAACTGCGAGTAGCCCAGCCAGAGCCCAGACCTAAATCCTATTGAACATCAAGATCTGAGAATCTGAAAATGGCTGAACACCGTCACTTCCCATCCAACCTGATAGAGCACAGGTGTCAAACTCAGTTCCAAAAGGGCCGCAGCTCTGCACAGTTTAGTTCCAACCCTAATTAAACACACCTGATCAAACTAATTGAGTCCTTCAGGCTTGTTTGAAACCTACAGGTAAGTGTGTTGGAGCAGGGTTGGAACTAAACTGTGCAGGGCTTCGGCCCTCCAGGAATTGAGTTTGACACCCCTGTGATAGAGCTTGAGACGTACTGCAAAGAGGAATGGGCAAAATTTCCCAAAGACAGGTGTGCCAAGCTTATGGCATCAAATTTAAAAAGACTTGAGGCTGTAATTGCTGCCAAAAGTGCATAAACAGAGTATTGAGCAAAGGCTGTGAATACTTCTGTACATGTGATTTTTTTTTTTTTCAGGTTGTTTATTTTTAATAAATTTGCAACAATTTCAAAAAAATAATGTCACATTGTCATTATGGGGTGTTATGTGTGGACTTTTGAGGAAACAAATTACATTTATTTTGGACCAAGGCTGTAACATAAAAAGGTGGAAAAAGTGAAGCGCTATGAATACTTTCCGCATGCACTGTATGTCTATGTGATTGTTGATGTCACAACAGTGTACTTTCCAAGGGCTTAAGATGTTCCATTTAAACTCGTTCAGATGTACATCTGAGTCAGCGTGAAAGTGGAAAGTTAGTTAGCCCAAGGAGTTCGTTACTCTGTGTTTGGAGTTGTCTTGTTAAAACACCAATTTCAGTGGCATTTCCTTTTAACCACTGGACAACAATCTCTTCAAGAACTCTGATGTATTCAAAATGATTCATGGTATACAGTTTAGTCTGTATGCGTGAAAGGGGCCATTTCAGATGTCCCAAAATCTCTAGCAATTTACTATATATTAAATTGGAGTTACAGGTGTTTGCCACAAATAAAATGAGACAGAGTGAATGTAGTAGATAATGGTGGATAGCAAATAGTTCAAATTTGGACAGTGTCAAAGAAAGCTCATAGATGATAAGAACTGCAATTCACTGAGAAGTAAAATTCAATTCAAAATTCTATTCATCTTTATTTCTATAACACTTTTACAATGTAAATTGTGTCAAAGCAGCTTCACATAGAACATTATAGTAAATTTAAACTGTCAGTGCAGTTTTCAGAGTTTAAGTTCAGTGTGGGTTATTTTTCACTGCCTAGAGTTCAAACACTGAAGAGCAAATCCATCGATGCACAGCTCCAAAAGTCCCGAACCATGCAAGCCAGTGGCGAGGAAAAAACTTCACCAATTGACAAAAGTGAAAGTAAAAAAAAAACTAGAAAGAAACCAGTCTCAGTACATGACCATTTCTTCTCTGGCCAAACTTCATGTGCAGAGCTGCAGTCTAGGTGCCGGAGGCCGGAGAATGCTGCAAGTCCATCGCGGAGAAGCTGCAGGTGGCAGAGGTCACCCGCTGGTGTACAGGCTGTCCGGTTAGGACCAAATGACTCGTCTGTCACTGGGGTCTTACAGGAATCACTCTCATGTTCTCCACTTCTTCATAAACCACCACAGCAGCTGCTCTGGATACAGCCTTGTCCAGGGTTATGGAAACCTCAACACAATCTGACGGCAATTCGTAAGTTTTTGATTTAGTCGCTAATGCGTATGAATTCATATATTTATTATAATATATATTCATATATTTGCTCATCCCCCAATGACGGTTGGTTTTAGGGGTGGCGTTAGGTGTCACGCCTCCTTTTTAAAATCGTATAATTTGGTACGACTGAACTCGTATGAATTAGCCACTGAACTGGTAAAACGTAAAATACTTACGTTTTCTTGTGAGATCAGGCTGAAACCTCAGAAAAAAAAGACTAACATAAGAGCAGATGCCCTTCAAATTATAATGTTTTTTGGGAAGTTTTCCTTGTCTGCCCTAAATAATGCAGACAACAATCCTTTAGAGGAATTGGATTTCAAAAGCATTTGTGTTTTATGTGTATGCTAATGCAAGAGATGTGTCTTTAATCTAGTTTTAAACTGACAGAGTGTGTTGGATCCAGAGTTTAGGTGACAGATATGAGAAAGACCTACCGCCTACATCTGATTTCGATATTCTGAGAATAAAGAAGAAAAAGGATAAAATAAAGACTGGTGGATTTTAATTTCCAAATCTCATTTTTCTAAAATTTGATAATTGAGATAATGATAATGTCATTGAATAACAAAACACAACAAAGCAATCAGATATAATTATTATCTGTCACATGACAAGCATGAATATAGTTAGCATTGTCATTTAAAAAAACAGTAACTGTTTAAACTTTTCTATTATCGTTCTTGGAACTATCTTGTTATAAAAAACAGCTGCATAACGTTTTTTTTTTTTTTTTTTTTAGCCAAATCTTAAAACTGTCCTAAGAGTGTCACAGTTTCCAAGCATAGTTCCCTATATTACTCTTGTAATTTCGAAAATCCTAAAATTATTAATAAATACCTCGAGCCTCATTTTATAAGTTGCTATTTTAGCAAATGGCAATCATTTTGTTTCATTAATATAGTTGCAAAAACAAGCTTGGTACATCATTTTGTCATGCTGATAAGCATATTTTTAAGAATTGTTTTTCTGAATTTTTGCTGGGCATTTTAACCTTATCCAGTAAGTAGTTTTTTCTTAAAAAATGTTAAAAAAAAAAAAAAAAAAAAAAGAATTATTACCTATTTACCTATTTGTCATTTACCTATGCAAATTCTCACTGAAAAAAAAGGATTCAAAGATGATTCTTTGGATTTGCTAAATTTTTTAAGGTGCGTGGTTATAAACAATTTATTTGGGCTGAATTTAAACAAACAAAAGTTGAACATTACTAAAATTAAATAGTAATGTTTGTTTAAATTCAATCAATAATTGTTTGCAAAAAATTTTGCTGAAATATTTTTTCATTGTATGCATTTTACCATAGTACATTATTCACTGACAGGCTGTGTGTATTTCCTGCATTTTGTTTTGTATATATATTTTCCTTAGAGCTGAATAATTTAATTCTAAAAATATTGTAAGCAATAGGGCATTGAAAGATGAAAGCCCTTTAAACTTTAATAAAAGGTACAAAATGTTTCAGTTTTTATGCAGTTTAGCTGGTAATTTAAATAACCAATCGGTGTTGATTTTTCTCAAGAACGTGCCTACTTTTCTACGCAAAACAACTAAAGAAAAGAGGTTCTCACAGATGGGGTTTAATTGGAACACGCGTTACAAATAACAGGTGTTCCTCAGTAATAATTAAACTGACACAAAAACTCTCACAACGGGGTGGAGCCCGTTTGCAGCTACACAGAAGGATATGCTTATTTGCTTTAACACCAGGTAACTAACTAATATTACTTCTCCAGGTATCTTCGAATTGTTTAAAGAAATATACAAAAGTGTAAGTGAACATATTAGCCGAGTTAGTGAAATTAAGAAATTTTCGCGTTTAAATTTCAAAGTCATTCTAAAACAGAGCTCGCAGTTATAAAGTCGGTATAGTCATAAAGTTGATACATGTCCGAAATAAATTACTTTAATAAGGAAGCAATTAGAAGAATTGTGGGCAAAGTCCGTTCAAAAATGAGCCTCTGCCCAAGTCAACCCAAAGAACATTACAAGCCATGAGGCCGACTTTAACAGATTCAACGCGGATTGATGTTTGCTTATTGTAATTAAATGGCGCAAACATAAAACATGTGAAAACCTTTATAAGTCAGGCAAATGCTAAAAGGATCATTCTACTGAAAAGTAGGTTTATTGTTTGGCAAAATGTCTAAAAACAAATCAATTTCTTTTTTTACGTTTAAAATTCCACATTACTCAATTAACTTCTGACTTTATGGAACGCATGAATAGCAGCTTAATGTTTTTTTTATGTGTACTTTTTGTACATTCAAAGGATACAAACATTTTTATTGTACTATTTTACCTACTTTTTGGCAAATATTAAAATAGATTTTTTTCAGTACATATCAGAAAAATAATTAGTGAAACAAATAAGATTATTTTAATTTTTAACACCAGTGACAATTTATGAAAAATGCATTTTGCAAAATGTCTGCTGCAAACGGTCCCAAACCACATGTTCGCAATCATGATATTCTCACTAAATTAAAATGTATTAAGAGATTAATCCATTTATATTTTTGTTTCTTAATTTCTTAACAATATAGGAGGTTACACTAGTGACACTAACTAAACACTTCACATGAAATCATGAGACAAATTATACATTTTTTGTTAACTTTGTGTTTTTAGTTAATGTGGTAGATGTTAATAACAGTATTCCTCAACATAGTCTTGGTTTGTGTATAGTATGGTTGATAACGATAAAACTAATTTTAAAAATACAAATTATTTATAAGCGCACGCACACAAACACAAATATATACATTTACTATACAAACTATATACATAGTCAGAGAAATGGAAAAAAGTGTCTACTAGCATTATTGTAAAACAAATCAAACAAAAAAAATTATTTGTCACCAGTATTCTAAAAAGACATCTTAATAATTTCTCTTGCATCATTAAATCACTTAAGTTTTAATAATGGAGATCATATTAATATGCATTTAGTTCCAATGAAGAATTGTTGAAATCTTTGCTTCAAGTCAGTGGATTGCTCCAGTCAAACAATGTTTATAATATAGTATAACTATTGCTGAATAGAGAGCAGATTAGAAGGGATCCAAGAACTGATGATTGTTTTCTTTGCTGTTAATCCTTAGAAAGTTAGTTTTTGATTAGAAGCCATGGTTATTAAAGAACCATCATTCCAAAGGAAAAAGCAAGGAAAAAATTGTAGATTGGGGGACATTTCCAATATGTTTTTTAATCCTGAGATTAACTGATAAATTATTAGTTAATTCTGGTAACTAAACAATGACAATGGAATTACAATGGGCCTTTCTTCATGGATCTTCAGAAAATAGGAAGAGGAAAGTTATGTCACTAAAGCAATCATTTCAAAATAATATTTTTTGTTATACTGCAACAAAAACTCCAGGGGGTGACTACTACCATTATACGTTTTATAATTTATTTGCCCCTTCTTTTTTAATGTTATTTACATTAATGCATTTTTGTATATTTAAATGGTAGAAAAGTATTTTATCTGAAAGTGAAGCATCTTTTTATTGCCCATGGTTGTGTGGACAAGCAGTTTTGTATTTTGTTTATTTATTTTATTTTTATTTTTTTAGTTTTACATGCGTTTAAAAAAAATATTGCTACACTGATGACACGAAAGGGTGAAATTGTTCAAATAACATTTTTTATTTTAAAATGCATGGACATTTTAATCCTAAAGATTTTTACACTAAAGTGTAATATTGCTATTAAGTCTAGGGGCAGAAAAATGCATAGAATGAGCATTTTTCTTTTTCATAGAATGAGCACAATTTCTGTAGAATGAGCCAAAAGCTAGAGGTTCTGTTAGTAAATTTATTTGAGAGCCACTGAGCCAAATGGTCGGGACCGGATCTCCAAAAAAAGCCTGAATTCTTATCACTAGCTCCTCTTGTACCACAGTTGTTGTTTTTTTGTTATGCTTACAAGGACTAGCATAGTCAAATACTTCATTACACAACGCAAGCATTTCCTATTTTCCTATGCCTTATGGACTAAATGAAAAAAAAATGCAAGAATTTAAAAAGAGAGAGCATGCATAATCAGTTTACAAACATATATAATGCTCTTTACAAAGGATCTTTGCTTTTGCATGGTGATTTTTAAAATCATTTAACAAACGGCAATTTATCAACCCCTCTTTTTGTCCAGAAATATTTTAAATGTTATGGCATTGAAAAAATAATTTATATAACTGCATCTATCTATCAAAACACAATGGCACAACCTTTTGTTTTAGGAAATAAGCATACAGTTGGACGGTTTGCTGGCCTATGAATGCAGATTTATTATACTTTTTTAAATTATTTTTATTTCTAACTTATTTTTTCTATTATTTCTACAGCTTTAGTTGATGTAAGGGGTGGACTGGGATAGCAATTTAAGTAGGGAAAATTATTTTAGCTTGAACCTCCTGGTGCTCCCTATGGCTGGTCCGCCCCTGGTTGGTGTTTTGCATGGTGCAAAGATTGCTTTATTAAAGAGGAATTATTATACAAAAATCACATATGTAAGGGTTTTAAACAGTTTTGTGGCAACATTTAATGAAATATAACCAGGTAGTAATGGTAAAATTCATTTTATTTTTATAGTCACACCATTTAGAAGTGCAAAAACATTTTAATTGACATTCTTCCTTTGTACACGTCTTGTGAGGGGGAAAGCCCCACCCACTAATGGAAATCTCTGCCTCATCAGCATAGGACATTAGTCTCATTTTTGAATCTGCCACTATGCTGATTTGCATTTGTAGCTCCGCCTTTTTTTGAGAATAAGGCTGGATTTACAATCTCATTTGAATTTAAGGGGAGTCACCTAAATGGCACAATTAGATTCAAAGCTTAAAAAGGGCAGTTTCAAAGAGTTCGAAAATATTATTTGTGGGGGTTTTAAGCTTTAAACTTCACATACACACTCTAGGCATAATAAGTTCCCTTGTATTTTTATAAGTTTAAAGAGATGGTTCACTTAAATTAAAATAGTCATCATTTATTTTTTATTTACTTGTTTCAAACATGTTTGTTTTTTCTGAACACAAACGAAGATATTTAGACGAAAGCTGAAACCTGTAACCATTGACTTTCATATTTATTTGCTGGACTATGGATGTCAATGTTTTTACAGGTGTTCTGCTTTCTTCAAATATCATCTTTTGTTTTTAACAGAATAAAGAAACTCAAAGTTTGGAAACAATCAAGGGTACCTACATAGTGAGTGCATTGTTATTTTTAGGACGAACTTTAAGTGTTACTTTTTTTAATAGGATTTAGATTTTGTAACACTCTTCATCATTTTTAGCTTTTATAGATGCAGTAAAGTCAACTAGTAAAAAAAAAAAAAAAAAAAAGCCAGCTCATAAGGCTACAACTCTTTTGCAGAGTGCTTCTGAAGGATGAACAGCGGCGGACCAGCATATCCATTAGCCTCTCTGTATGTCGGTGACCTTCATGCTGATGTCACAGAGGCCATGCTATACCAGAAGTTCTCTCCTGCTGGTCAGATCATGTCCATTCGTGTTTGCCGTGATGTAATTACGCGGAGATCCCTTGGATATGCTTACATAAACTTCCAGCAGCCTGCTGATGGTGAGGGCACTTTTAACAGGGTGTTTCATTGTTCATAATTGCTTTTTTGGGTTGGAATTTAGTAAGCAAGAAGTACTGACGTATGTATGCATGTATGTATTTATGTGTGTGTTGTGAGTTCTTTCAATTGCAAACTACATTAAGTGATCAGAAGGTTTCTCTAAAATCTGCACGTCACTTTTTCCTCTATTTAAGCGGAGTGTGCCCTTGACACAATGAACTATGAAGTCATTAAAGGTCGCCCAATCAGGATCATGTGGTCACAGCGAGATCCTGGTCTGAGAAAGTCTGGTGTGGGAAACATCTTCATCAAGAACATGGATGAGTCTATTGACAACAAGGCTCTTTATGACACCTTTTCTGCTTTTGGTAACATCTTGTCATGTAAGGTACATTCTTTTCCAGTCACTGTGCGATTTATCTATTGGATAGACGGGTTGACTTGAAGGCCTTTTTGCCTCAAGTTGAAATAAAATGTAATGTTTATTGCCACCAACGCATCTCAGAGTAACCTTTTTCTTCATTCTAGGTAGTTTGTGATGAAAACGGCTCAAAGGGTTATGGGTTTGTGCACTTTGAGACCCAAGAAGCAGCTAACAGAGCAATTGAGACGATGAATGGCATGCTTCTGAATGATCGCAAAGTGTACGTTTAATTAATGCAGTATGTGGTACAGAGTTCCTTTTAAACCCGCTGTATAAGTCAATTATTCTACTCGCGCTATGGTTACCACATAAAAATATCGTTCAGATTATGTATTTCAAGATATTTGTTAGGTTTTTGTTTTTAAATGACTTCTGTTTGTAGGACTAGATTCTTGCGTATTCATCCCAAGCCTTTGTGGCTAATTACAAAAGTTAAATCTTAAGCCATGGCGATGCAGTGGGTAGCACGTTCGCCTCACAGCAAGAAGGTCGCTGGGTCGCTGGTTCGAGCCTCGGCTCAGTTGGCGTTTCTGTGTGGAGTTTGCATGTTCTCCCTGCATTCATGTGGGTTTCCTCCGGGTGCTCCGGTTTCCCCCACAGTCCAAAGACATGCGGTACAAGTGAATTGGGTAGGTTAAATTTTCCGTAGTGTATGAGTGTGTGTGTGAATGAGTGTGTGAATGTTTCCCAGGAACGTGTTGCGGCTGGAAGGGCATCCGCTGCGTAAAAACTTGCAAGATAAGTTGGCGGTTCATTCCACTGTGACGACCCCAGATTAATAAAGGGACTAAGCCGACAAGAAAATGATTGAATGAATGAATGAATGAAGTCTTAAGCCATTGACGGCAGACAAGTACTGTTATTAATGTGCTTGCGTGAGATGGAGAGAATAAAGCTGCATTCCAAATGGCACACTATACACCATGTACTTATGCACTTACACACTCAACATCATAGTATGTATAAAGTGTCGTCCCAAATGGAACACTAATGTTTTTTTACTAGGCGGAAGTTCAAACCATTTCCTTGATGCAGTTTGATTGTTGCCGAAGTAGTAAAATCAATGACCAAACTATGAAATAATACCTGCCATTAGTATAATCACATTCACCATCGGGAGGGACTATAATCACACTCGTAGGAGAATTTTGCTTTCAAAATCCAAAATAAAGTAATCCATCATGTGCCCTTTTCGCTATGTAAGTAAAGCTGCAGTGGTTGAGTGTGTGAAGTGTCCATCATTCCACACTTCATTTTACTGGTTAGTTAAAGTGCACTTATTCTTTTTAGAGTTTTCATTGTAAATGCACTATTTATACTACAAAATAGCGTATGGGATTTGGGACGCACCTATAGTGTCTTTTTTTCTGCATCTCTCAACAGTGTGGCATCAGAGTGCATACTAATAGCAAAGTTAAGAAATTGTAAATTGGAAAAAAATCTAAAGCAGTGTTTTTCTTTTTTTGTAGATCAGTGGTTCTCAACCACATTTCTGAGGGACCACCAGAACTACACTCTTTGCATGTCACACCATTTTCAGATCTTGCAGTCTCAGTTAATAAGCTGATGTTCTGAATCCGGTGTGATTAAGATGACATGAAAAATACGCAGTACTGGTAGTCCTCCAGGAATGTGGTTGAGAACCACTATTATATTTTATAAAGCAGTGCTTCTATACTATCTTTATTGTTTTTGTGCATTTTGTATGGGAAAAAGAACAAGATAAAGAATGGTTTTGGACTGGATCAAGAAAAAAAATCTTGTGGCAAAACATGGATGAAGGCTGTTATTTTGATCCTACACAATGTTCAAGGTGTGATGTGGAACTGTAAAGGGGGAAGACGTGCCTGGAAGATTAACCTTGAAATGGTTTCCTTTTGAAATATGAGAATCAAGCATTGTTTTATGGAATTATTAAATGTCTTTGTCATAATTACAGCCGGAATTACATCTTATTGTATGGGCTATATCAAATATATTGGGTTTTGCATAATTATTTTTAAATGTTATTTTTTTCTTGGTCAGATATGCATGCTTTCAGTTCAATACTAAAGTAAATGATTCATCTATTCAAGTGAACAAATTAATTATTTTTTTCTGGGTATGTCTACTTTAAATCCATATTTCTTCCTTTTTACAGATTTGTAGGGCACTTTAAATCCCGTAAAGAGCGCGAGGCAGAGATGGGAGCTAAAGCTGTGGAGTTCACCAATGTGTATATTAAGAACTTTGGTGAAGACATTGACAGTGAGAAACTGAAGAATATCTTCACTGAATTTGGTAAAAAAAATAAATAAATAAAATTTGATATATATATATATATATATATATATATATATATATATATATATAAAATGCAGTAACATTTTATTCCTGATTTTAATTTAATTCCTGTGATTCTTTATGAAAAATATACATACTTGAAGTTGTCTCTGATTCACAGGTAAAACTCTTAGCGTCTGTGTGATGACTGATGAAAGGGGACGCTCCCGTGGCTTTGGATTTGTCAATTTTGTCAACCATGGCGATGCTAGGAGGGTAAAAATGCAAATACAGATGTATCTTCATTATATGATAGTGACGGGTAAACAGAGATTTAACTTTTTTTTTCTCTTTGTGGTAGGCAGTAACTGAAATGAATGGCAAAGAGCTCAATGGCAGGGTCCTGTATGTAGGCAGAGCTCAGAAAAGACTCGAGAGGCAGGGAGAGCTCAAGCGCAAGTTTGAGCAAATTAAGCAAGAGCGCATACAACGTTACCAGGTACACTCATTTCTCTGCATTTTAATCAGCACAGGATGTATTCGACATCATCCTCATTATGTGAGATGGATTTGTATGTGGTTTTATCTGGAAACGTGTTGTGATGCACAAGTTGTTTCTTTAATTTTAGGGGGTTAATCTCTATGTGAAAAATCTGGATGACAGCATTGATGATGAGAAGTTGAGGAAGGAGTTTGCACCTTATGGAACCATCACCAGCGCAAAGGTAATATAAAAAAATACATGTGCCTTTTATAAAACAATGCTGTAGGTTTAACCAGTGAAACTAAAAGTGTTTTGCAGTGCTGAATAGTTTAATAAATAAGAATATCATTAGTGTGAGTACCACCAGTGTGTAACTATAAAGTCTGCAATCTCCATCATGGCTTGAGTTTATTACACATGAAGAGAGAAAATAAATCCCATGTAATGCTGTGTATGCTTTATATTAACAGCCACTCATACATTTCTGTTTCCCTTTTGTTATAACCAGAAAATACAGCACTGAAAATGTATTAATCACTATTCTGATCTGTTTGTTTCATACCTAATAGTTTTAATTTATCTTATGTAATAAACAACTTGAGTGAACAGTTTTTATACAGATAGGTTGTTCAGGCCATTTAAAATGACTAATTTTGCCCTTTTCTATTTCTCTTCTTTCCTCTTTATATTTAATCTATTAGAGGTAAATTTGCTCTTATGCTCTGGTTTTTATTAATTTTTTTTGTTTGTTTTTTGGCTACAAAATCCGGCTGCACTTAAACATCGTTTTTTAGACTCATGAACTGAAGTAGCTATTCTTTCTCAAACCAGTACTCTTCCACCATTTTGCATGACTGTCTGATGTTCTTTTTGTAGTATTATTGGGCGTTTAGTATATGCTAAATGTAATGACTTTAAACCCCTTCCTTCTTTTTTTTTAAACCACAAGGTATGTTTTACCAAAATTGATAATGTTTTTGGTTGGCAGAGGTTTTTCCTTAATTTTTATTTCAAGTGTCTTTTGGATGCTAATGAGTCATCACAGTGCTCTGAGTCATTTTGGAAGGTGTGCCACATCTGGAAAGGTCTGCAGCTGGCTTTTTTTCCCAGTTGGGGCTTAATTCTAATAACATTTTATTATCGTTTAAAGTGTATTTTGTGTTTTTTTGTATTCAGTTTTAAATATATTTATGATTACATTCTGTAGAAATCAGGATGAGGTAAAAAAATAAAAAAGACTTTTATAATTCTAATTAATCTCCTATCTCAAGCCTTTTTGACTGCTTCTACTTTCTACTACTATCTATAATTCCAGTTTTATCTCAAAATTTGCATTTAATTTTTTTCTAAAGTCATTGACACTAATACAATGTCTAGTAACCAGTATTACAATGGTCAATATAACATTAGGTACTGGTCTGAAAGAAACATTTCAACAAAAAAATTTCTGACACCTAAGTTTTAATATGAATAATATATAAAGCTCGTTAGATATGAGAGAATTTAGCCTGTCCTGTCGCCATTTGCATAAACATGGCCACTATTACTTTGGAACTTGGGTGCTAATTTTAGCAACTAACTGTTAAGTAAAGGATGATCAGTCTTTTCAAATTGATGCAGCCATATCAGTCTCAAAAATAATACATGTACAAAATAAAATTCATACATCTACAACACAATTCACATTTACGAAATCCAAATTGTAAGCTCAACACTATTCAAAAATGCGCAAATCCAATCTTTAAATTAAAAACGCGATAAAAAAATACACGTCCAATCTGTAAATTCCAAACACGATTAAAAAAACGTGTCTAATCTTTAAATTAAAAACGCGATTAAAAAAATACACGTCCAATCTGTAAATTCAAAACACGATTAAAAAAAAAATACACATCCAATCTGTAAATTCAAACATGATTAAAAAATATGCATCAAATCTATAAATTCGAAACGCAATGAAAAAATACACATCCCATCCATAAATTCAAAACAAAGTCAATTCAAAAAGTCTATTTAAAAATACGCATATCCAATCGGTAAATTCAAAACACAATTCACATTTAATTGTGAATTTACTAATTGTTTACAAATTGTTTTCGAAGAGTGAATTGTGCCATGCATAAATGAATTTTCATTTTGTTAATGAGACTTATCTGGCTCCATAGTCTGTATGCCTTTTTAATTCATCAACCTTAAATAACTATGTACACCCACTTAAACTTTTTAGTGCTATTTACTGCATGACAGATGCCATAAAATCACTAATCTTAATTAAATTATTATTATTATTATTTTTTTTAATGTCCTACAGAGACCTCTTTCATATCAAGATCTCTAGTTATATGTGCGTTCAAAATAACAAATAAATGCACCTTATTTAAAATGGAAACTGACTGGGCTTCTGCATCTGAAAACTTGAGCACATTAAAAAAAAGTGTCTACCTTTACTGACAAAAAATACATAGAATATGTGACCCTGGACCACAAACACAGTCATGGGTGAGATTTAAAAAAAATTAATGAAATTGGAATAAATAACCTTTGTTTGGCATAAAAGTAATAAAGGTCAATCAAGTTGACCCATACAATTGGCTTTTGCCAGAAATATACTATTTAAACAAGACTTTAGACACAAAAACCTTGAAGTGCCATTTAAAATTTTCTTCTAAAATGAGTTTTTATTTTTTTATTTTTATAAAGACCCTTATGTTCATGTTCAGTTATTTCACATCAAAGGCAATGCATATAATCTACTCTGTAAATAAAGTAAAATTAGTGAACCTATATATAGGAACTTGAGAAAAATGCTCACTTTAGAAGAAAATTCCAGATGGCACAGTTTTTGTTTGTAATCCAGGCTCACCAATATAGCAAAATAGCTTACAGATGTTAAAACTACTTTTAAATAAACCAATAGGCTATATGCACACATACTTTTAATTTTAAGCCAGGCAGCCCAAGGGCTTCTGGTGAACTGTCTTTCCATTACAAAATTGTTACGTTTAAGATCTGATTTCTTTAAAAAAAACAGTGATCTTCACTGCCTGTTAGATATGAAATGAAGTTGGTCACAGATCGGATAAGAAGCACTGCATTCAATTTCATTTCCCCCCGTCATGTCTCTAAAATATGACAGTTTATTTTACCATAGTATTTTCAATGGAATTTCTGCTCTAGCCTGTTGGTACTGATGGTGCTAGTGATCACGATGGTCTTCTTGTTTTATGCTTGAACAACTAAATCAATGCTTAAATCTATTGAACTGAATGTATTGTAATTATTTTAGTTATCGATGCTGTAAAAACAACCTTGTAATATTGAAAACTCACATTTAAGCTTTCACCGGAAGTTGACTTAACTCTAGCTGTGCATAAAGCCCATTCAAATGGAAATTTAGAATTCTCTGCAGAAATGTTCAAGTTGATGTCTTTTGACTTTATAAACCGTAAAAAAAAGCGAGCACTAGTTTATAAAATTATTCAAATGTTAATGAAGCCTCCATATGGGGTTTCCATCAAATATTCATTAATGGTGTGATTAACATGTAACAACTAATTGTTTAACAGGAAGATCTTTAGTCGAGGGCAGCCCTAGTCTTTTAGGGGAAATAATGTATGCCTTTAAAACTAGTCTAAGTGCTTTGTGCAACTGGCCACAAGTTTAAAATGTAAAAAAAAATCTCTTAATATTTGTAATTATTCGGTTAAAATATTTTCATTTGTGAGTATCTATGTATGGGACAACCATTTAGCACTGGCTGTTTTTAAAATTGGCTTCATAATTGCACTTTGTCTTGCCATAGGTGATGACTGATGGAGGCCACAGTAGAGGCTTTGGATTTGTTTGTTTTTCCTCTCCCGAAGAGGCCACAAAGGCAGTGACTGAGATGAACGGGCGTATTGTTAGCACTAAACCACTTTATGTGGCTCTTGCCCAAAGAAAAGAGGAACGAAAGGCCATCCTCACTAATCAGTACATACAGAGACTAGCCAGCATCCGAGCTATCCCTGGCCCTGCAATACCCACCACCTACCAGCAGGGCTCCGGTTACTACATGACCTCTGTGCCACAAGTGGGTGGAATGATTTAATTACATTAATGGTAGCAGGTGCAGAATCTGCGTTGCTGCTTTAATCAATATGCATATCTGCATTTCTAATCCGCCAGGTTCGCTCTTTTTATAATGCTGTACCAAACCTGCGCCCTGCACCACGCTGGGCATCTCAAGCTCCTAGGACACAAGGTAAAGGTCTATACAATTATTTAGGTTTCACAACTGCATTAAATCTGGAGTCATATGCTTCCTTTTTAGAAGATGTATTAGTACATGTATTATGTATTAGTAATTTTGTGCTTGTGTAAGAGCTGCAGAGTTATAAAACTTAGTCTCCCATAGGTAAAAAATAAAATAAAAAAATCTAACAAAGAACATTTTTTCCCTTACCACAAATTTTACCATATCAGTTTGACTCCAAGTCAAATTCAAGCACAGGAAAAAAGTGGAAACATGATGCAATTCATGTGCTCAGACATTCTTCGCCAGAGTATCAAAGTTCCTTGTTTCTTGTTGTACATATTGGAGTAGTTCAAATTGCTATGAAAAAAGCTATTTAAAAGTTTTTGTCTATTATTATGTCCCAATCAATTGTTGCTTAACCAAAAGTTTAACAGATAGTGTAAGACGACTGAATGCGGTTTGGGTAACTTTATTTACTTTGTCATTATTCTTTTTTTTTGTAAAAACAAAAAACAAAAAAGGGTGTAAATGTGTATATCATAAACTCTAAAGATATGGATGTAGTATCCATGATGTCACCAATAGGTTTCTATAGGGTGCAAATAAAGCTACAAGTGGGCGTGGCCAACCGGTGCCATTTTGTTTGTGTGACATCGCTCCAACCAGGGGTAACCAAATAAGGATGGAGGTACAGCGTGAGCGGAGCTCCAGACACCTACCTTTGGCTTAGACTTTTCTTTAAGAGAAACGCTTAATACTTACTTGCGACTCGTTTGTCTTCTGAAGTGCTTGGTTGTATACTATAACAATGAAGTATTTAGTCCTTAACGCTGTTGTAATCCATTGAACTGCTGCAACCTAGTACTGGAAACTAGGAGACTAGGAAACACCCCTACACTCTCACCTCCAAACATGAACTCCTACAGTATGGCCAATTTAGTTTATTCAGTTCTTCTATATCGCATCTCTTTGAACTGTGGGGCAAACCAGAGCACCCAGAGGAAACCAGCTCAAACACTGGGAGAACATGCGAACGTCTAGACCAGGGGTGCTCAACCATGTTCCTGGAGATCTACCTTCCTGCAGATTTCAGTTGCTACCCATTTCAAACACACCTGCCTGTAATCATCAAGTGCTGTTCAGGTCCTAATTAATTGGTTCAGGTGTGTTTGATTAGGGTGGGAGCTGTATTTTGCAGGAAGGTAGATCTCCAGGAACAGGATTGAGCAGCCCTGGTCTACACAGAAACTGGCCCAACCGGGACTCAAATTAGTGACCTCCTTGCTGTGAGGTGACAGTGCTAACCACTAAGCCACAGTGTTGCCTGGGACCCAAAAAATTCAGATACAATTGTATTTGTATGCAAACCAGCTTTTTGCAATGTTCACTTGTATAATCTAGTTTGTACACAACTTGAAGCTGACATTTCTTTTTTTTTCCCTTCCTGTTTTTCTGCTATGTGACGAGTGAATTTCTGCTGTTGATTGATTATTCTAGGTCCATTTCCAGCTCAGTTTGTGAGGCAAGCAGTGCCACGGAGGCCCTCCACTACCATCAGCACTGTCCGCCAGGCCTCCACTCAGGTTCCTCACATAAACAACACCCAACGAATGGGTAAGGCAGTGTCCATGTTTACATAATACATTGTGATCTTGTTATGGGGAAAATGCTGTACTAGTTGTTGAAAGTCTGTATCCCTGTTATATATTTAAAACGGAGATTAAATGCCTACTATATAATGTACAGTATGATATACATATGCAATATTATAATATACCGTACCAATCTCAGTCCTGGAGGGTTGGTGTCCCTGCAGAGTTTAGCTGCAACATACCTAGACACATCTGACTGGAAGTTTTAATTATACATTATAAGACCTTGATTAGCTTGTTCAGGCGTGTTTGATTAGGGTTGGAGAAACTCGGCAGGACATCGACCCTCCAGGAACAAGTTTGGGGACTGCTAATATACAGTGGTGAACAGAACAAATTTGTGAAACTTTAAGACGAGAGAACTTTTAGAAGAACTTTGATGTTTTGATCCACTTTAAAAGTTGACTAGATTTTGTTTGTAAAAAAAATATTGTAATATTGTATTTTAATATTTCATGGTCATTCTGTATTAAATAAATTTTATATGGGATACAAAATCATAAATTGATAAACGCACTTTATACTGATTGAAAAAACACTGAAGCGTGTGCAACCTGACAACCTCGAATGAAAAAAATATAGATGAACCGTCATATTTACAGTTTTTTTCTTTTTCATTTTTTTTGCACTGTTTAAATGAAGAAATTAGTTTTTTTTTTAGTTCATTGAAAATTGCAATATTCAAGTGTAATTAAGAATCTGCTTAGCTTTGTGCGCACGTGTATAATTAATATTTTGTTTCACCAATTAAATCATTGAAATGCAGCACAAAATATGAACATTTAGTTTAATGGTGGGTAAAATATGAATTTTCCTTGGCTGTAACTCACTTTTGCCACACTAATTTTGTATGCGTTTATTTGTATAACATGGAGTAGAGAGTAATGCCATTATTGTTTTTTGACAGAATTTGAAATGCAATTTTATTTATTTATTTTTATTGGTTTCTCTCCTGACTTAGCCAACATTGGGACCCAGACTGCAGGCGGGAGAGCTGCGGGAACTGCAGTCAGAGGAGTCAGCCAATACAAGTACTCAGCAGGGGTTCGAAACGTGCAACAGGTCATTAATGCCCCAGCTCCTGTTGTTCATCAGGTAAATGAACATGCACACCTTTACTCGAGTTGAACTTAAAGCCCTGCATGCAAAGTTTTAGCTTCTCAGAAAAGACCATTTTTGTGTGTGTGTGTGTGTGTGTGTGTGTGTGTGTGTGTGTGTGTGTGTGTGTGTGTGTGTGTGTGTGTGTGTGTGTGTGTGTGTGTGTGTGTGTGTGTGTGTGTGTGTGTGTGTGTGTGTGTGTGTGTGTGTGTGTGTGTGTAAATAACCTAATGCATTGCTTTCAGTGATGGAAAGAGTACTAAAAATCATACTCAAGTAAAAGTACCATTACTTGCCAATAAATGTAGCTCTAGAGGGAGCTGTAAAACAGGAGTTGTATATGAGGGAGAAAGAGAGTAGTCATGAAGAGAGTACAAGGACAACACAGAGTTTTAGGCAGAGTGTGTGTTTGTGTGATTTTCTGACACTTACCAGTAGTTTTACTACAGAAATGTATTGTTCAGGAAAATGCTACTAAACATTTATAGTGGTCGGCATTTGAAGTGAATCAGTTTTGACCAACCTTAAATGTTGACTAAATCGCTGCAACTTTTGTCAGTTCATAGAAGTCTGAAATGCAGTATTTACCATTCATAGTGTTGCAGCACCTTAGTTCAACAAGATACATAGCTGCTACATTAATATAGAAAAATATGTACTTTGAGTATATCAGCCTTTTTTCCTTTTTTTTTTAAGGTTGTGCAAAATACAGAACCAGCAGTTCATATGAAAGGCCAGGAGCCCCTTACTGCCTCAATGCTGGCAGCTGCACCTTTAAAAGAGCAGAAACAACTACTGGGTAAGTGAAGCTTACTTAAACCAGTGGTTCTTAACCTGGGGCTTGTAATTCAAAATAAGGACTTGATAAAGATTTTTGAGAGCTTGCCGAGCGCACTTGTTTTAGGATTACAAGTAGGGCTAAATCATATACCAGTCTGATGATACAATTTGATATGTATTAATCTTTTACCTGTTAGTGTTCCACTGTACTGCCCATGATGCACTGAAGCTGCATTTTCATTATTGGGCCGAATGGTTTTGAATCCACATCTTCATGTGAAATCAATTCATGATGTTTATTTTGCTAGCGCACATTTATTTTGTTTTTTTGGGGGATGGTGAACAATAAATCAGTGCAAGTTAGGCGATGTTCACAATTAGTTTCATTTTAAAACATATATTTTTCTCTCCTTTTGTCCACACTGTGACTTTTTAGGGAACGAAAATGTATCTTTTTGGAAGACCTGGCCCAAGTGGATACATTTGAAAATGTTGTTTTTGTGTTACACTTAGGGGTGTTTGGTTCTGAGTTTTTCTTCTAATTTTAAACATCTCATTTTGGAGTTGGTGGAACGGTTTTCATTTACTTTCACTCAAAATAGTGCAGATTAAACGTATCATATCATGCTTTATAATGCTCTTGTGTCAAGCTTTACGTTGTGCAGTTATTTTTTGGCCAGACAAAACCAGTTTAAATTGGCTGCAGTCAAAAATAAAATGGTTATTAGCCTACACTTTTATTATTATTATTATTATTATTATTATTATAATAATTTTTTTTTTTTTACAAAATATTTTAATTGTTTAACTGGATATTTAACAATTGCATTGCAATCTTGGAAATAAATTTTAAAACATCAATTTATCAACATGTTTAATGAAAAGTGTTGCAGTTCATCAACAGAAAAAAACACCCCAATTGAGTCTACAAATAGTGTTAAACAAAATCATAAAATAACCTAAATATTTTATTATAGATGTTTGAAACTTGAATACTAAGTAGGCATACTGAAGAAGCAGAAGACAGTTGCGCCAGTTTGTTGCAACATTTCAAAGACACTGAAAATTAGTAAATAGCAGGCATGATATGATTGAGGTAGAACTGCCTGTGCCCAAACGCAGTACATAATGAAAGTGTTTTCAATCATTTTAGTATGTACGACAATTTTTTCGGAAAGAACTGAAACCAATAATGTGGACATGGAGCTTTTTTTTTTGACCAAACAGTTTTCAGATGTATCTGGATTTATTGTAGACCAGGGTGTACAAACTCAGTCCTGGAGGGCTGGTGTACTGCAGCGTTCAACTCCAACTTGCTTTAACACACCTACCAGGACGTTTCTAGTATATCTAGTAAGAGCTTGATTAGCTGGTTCAGGTGTGTTGTGATTAGGGTTGGAGCTAAACTCTCCAGGACACTGGCCTTCCCAGACAGAGTTTGGGCACCCCTGGTGTAGCCATAGTCCACTGGACAAGTGTTTTAGTATTCTTTGTTTTGCTAGCATTTGATAATTTGCTTCCATACTTGAAGTGGCAGTCCTTCTCTGTTGACATCAATTTACCAGCTTCTGCCACAATATTCATAACAATGCCCCTCATTGTAACAAACAGTTAGTTTGTTACAATGTAAAAAAGTCTCGTCCTTTATTCAATATTCTGTTTCAATTTGAAGTTTATCAGCATACTGCAACTCTCAGTAACTTCCATTTCACGATGACTAAGTTTTTGGGAAAAGTTTGGGAACCAGTGAATTAAACGTGTGTTGTTTGATTTAATTGCATGTTATCTTAAACCAGTGATGTTGACTTTAAATGACAGTGTCGTTTAGAAGAAGGTGCTACCAAAATAGTACTGTTAACCATGAATAAAAATAACTTTTCATTGAAACGTGTGCTTTAGAACAGGGGTGTCCAGACTCCGTTTTAGGGGGCCAGTTTCCTGCGTAGTTTAGCTCCAACTTTCTTTAACACACCTTCCTGGAAGTTTCTAGTATACCTAGAAAGAGCTTGATTAGCTAGTTCAGGTGTATAATTAGGGTTGGAACTAATATATGCAGGACACCGGCCCTCCAGGATCGAGTTTGGACACCCCTGCTTTAGAAGAACAAATTAATTAATTCTCTTTAAAGCAATGGTGCTGATAAAGAAGTGAAACTACACTTGCAAGTGAAATGACTGAATTCTGCATCCAATACAGGCGAGCGGCTGTACCCACTCATCCAGATTTTGCATCCTGCACTTGCGGGAAAGATCACAGGGATGCTGCTGGAGATTGATAACTCTGAGCTGTTACACATGCTGGAATCTCCAGAGTCTCTGCACGCTAAGGTAAACCATTACTTGAGACCAGCAAAGATGTACACTTAAAGATCAGTTCTTGTTGGAGCATTGTATGTATTTTTCCCCCCTCTACTTTTTAGGTCGAAGAGGCAGTAGCGGTGCTTCAGGCTCATCAAGCCAAGGAAATGTCAGCTAAGTGAGGGGGCTCTGAAAGGCAGGCAATCTCCGTCTTCTACATCAATTTGGTCTTTGTATTTAGTTCTGCTTAGTAGTGCACTTAAATGTTCCTTCATTTCATTCTTGCAGGCATCCGACTGGAAGTCTTTGAATAGAGGAATGGTTCACAATGGCTCTTTAGAGTCATGCTATGTTAAGCGTGCTTCACACACTGCAAATGTTCTTTTGCTCTATCATTATGTTTTTTCTGATTTTGTTTATTATATAAAAAAGGAAATAATGACAAGTAAAATGACAAATGGAAAAAAAAAAGGAAAAAAAAGAGAAAAAATACAAAAATATTTCCTGAAATTCTTGTGCAATAAATTATACTGGCTTAATGGACATGCAAAGGCTGTTTCTGTTGTTATTTTTTAATCTTATTGTGACCAATTTGCTGGCATTGTTTTTTTTTTTTTTTTTTTTTTAGTGATTTTAACAATCTTGTAAACATGAATAACGTAATGGCAATAGCAATTTTAATTTTGTGCAGACAAACTAAAGTATAACCAGCACTATACAATCAAACAGAGCTCTAAATGCAACACATTTTTTATATTGGGTTTTCTTTGTCTTGTGCTAAAGTAATTTTAAAAATTGCATATATGCAAGGCCTCTTTCCTAGTTTTACCATTTTTTTTTAATCCATTCAGCCAATCTCTGTTTCTAGCAGGAGCACTTTTAGCTTAGCATAAGTCAGTGAATTGGG